TTCCATAATATTCTCTACAGACTCCTCGTAATGGCCCTTCCGCGTAGACATGCACCGTGGCAACATGTCATCTTCATGAATAATGAATTGTGTGCTTTGGGAAATATTGTTCTTATGAATAATACGCCTGTCAATATTTCTAGAACCAGCCGCCAGTTTAATATCCATGATGAGATTCAGTCAACAATAGGTCTCATTTCCTCGTGTTGTCGTTATAGCCGACCAGATGTTTGTTTGTTTGTTTGTTGACTAACGCCGAACTCAGCAATGTCCAAACTATATGGCGGCGGTTTGTAAGGAATCGAGTCTGGACCAGACAATCCACTGATTAACATCATGAGAATCGATCTACGCAATTGGGATACGACGACATATGCCAACCAAGTCAGCGAGTCTGACCAGCAGATCCCGTAAGTCGCCCCTTACGATGAGCATGGGTTGCGGAATACCAATTCTAACTCGGATCTTCACGGGTACCGACTAGAGTTATAAACTGAAGGTTGTAATATGTGATCTGACTGTTTATCACCATCGTAACCCGGCGCCTAGGTTATTTGCTCAGGTTATCAACCCCTGGTTTGGTTATAAAGATTCGATTGGTTACAGGTCAACGTGATACAGCCACCTACAACTTGAAGCAAGTGTACTAATCGTGGCTTCAGTGCGAGTCTCGTTCAGTAGCGGTTATGTCGAACGTATGCCTACCTAAGAAAATGCAAAAATTTCCATCACTCGGTTGTCACGAAGTATTATCCGTCTCATAGTAATTCGAGGTAACGGATCTTCAGCGTTTGTTCTCCGTTCAGTGTAAATGGGTGAAAGTTCCATATCCAACACTAAACAGAGAAAGAGTTAAACCTCTTTTATCTCGAATCGCTGGAACATTCGATTTATTTATTGTCTTGTTAGGTTTCACGCACAACTCTTATTTCGTATCGATTTCTTCAGTTAACTAACTGTTTTAAGTTGAGAATAAACAATAAAATGTTTAAAAGCACACCAGCCATCCAATGACAGGTTCTTCTGTTGATGTGCTGACATCTGTCCCGTGGCGCCAGTAAACTGACTTCACATAACATTTGGCAGAATAATAGAATACTTCTTTCAATCCAGTTAATGGCGTTTTAATGTCGTGATCACTTATGTCCATGACAGCTTTAAGAGGATAGGAAGCTCATTTCTAAACATTCGTTTTACGTAAAACACAAAAAGAGCATCATAAGCAGTTCCACCAACAGTGGTCGAATTGCGACTTTCATCTCCAGAGGTGAACCTTTCGTATTTTGATCTTCTGAAGAAGGATCAGAGATAAAGCTGCTCAGTCAATAAATCCTAAATTAAAAACGGTTTCAAAAGCGAAATACGCTGCTCGGAGAAATCTATATAATAACACGACAAACCGTGAGTTGGTTTCAGATGACCTTCAGAGGGTTCCAAGGTCAAGATGAACTCATTTCAAGTCCTCTCATATTCGTGATTGTTAAGCTGTCTGGGATTTTCTCCCTTTAATCTCGCCTTGATGGAGAGTCGTTGGACATGCAAAGCATTCATTTGATGAGTTCCAATTCGGCGAAGGCTCTTTTTTAACGTTATTGCCAACTTGTGTACCTTTCTGGCATTGACATTAAATTTTCAATGTTGTTGGAACGGGCCAACTGCCCTTCTGTGTGTGCTATGAAACTTAATGGAATTAAATGCAAATCTGGTCACGTGTGCGGACACAGATACGACAAGCTTAGAAGCTCTGAGGCGTTGGGTAGCCATGTGGTTAAAGCGTTTGTGTACCGATTCAGTTCGATTCCCCTGAGGTAATACGGAAAGCCAATTCCTGGTGTTCCCGCCCTATGTCCTGCGTGAGTGAGTATGGTTTTACGCCGCATTTAGGCTACCCCACCGCCCCTGAGATTAGTACACAACAGGTACTAGTATATATATAACCAATCTTTATGTAAATATTTTGATCCCCCTGGTGTTATATGATTGGTTGGTTGGCTTGTTGTTTAACGCCGCACTCAGCAATATTCCAGCTACATGTCCGTAAAACATCGAGTCTGGGCCAGACAATGCAGTGATCAACAGCATGAGCATCGATCTAGACAATTGTGATACGATGACATGTGTCAACCAAGTCAGCGAGACTGACTACCCGATCCCGTTAGTCGCCTCTTACGACAAGCATGGGGTACTAAAGATCAATTCTAACCCGGATCTCCACTGGTCTGGTGTTACATGAAACGAGACTGCTCAATAGCTCCTACTGAAATGAGGATTTCTGAAAAGAGCGTTCACTGGTTGAATAGTGTAACAAGCAGCAGGCAAAGTTGTTTCCTTGGTTTAAACGAAACAATAATCACTGGTGCAGAAAAGACCGATCCCGGATTTACTAGAAACGATCGGTGAGGACAAGCATTTCCCTTTACTTAATAAACACAGTTCGTGTGAACAAAATGGTTTCCTTGGCTTAAGAAATACAATCGATGCATACACGATTGCTTCCTTGGCTGAAAAGAAACATAATTATGTACCTCCACAAAAATTAATGTAGCTCCAATTCAATTTAAAGCAAATTTCTTTTCTGTGTGAGTCAGTGTTAATATATTTAACAGACATTTATGTTTGGGCGTTATAGGTGTGTCACTGTGATCCTTTTAAGGCATGTATCATGGTAATTGCCGATAATCTACATTGTCGCCAGTCATCATATAACTCAGTTACCAACGCCTGATGCCTCTATTGCAGATTCCAATTTGTTAATATTGTACTTTAACTTAGATTTACGATGCCGTACTTACTTTCCTAGTGATTTTAAATCATACATTTTTTCAGATTGCGTGTCAGAGTACATTAAACATATATAAGAAACCCCGAACTTTGATCTATTGTAAACATGTTGTTTTTGTCATACTAAATCGTCAAGGGAGATGTTTATTTTGATCGATGAATTTCTTACAATCCCTCCTAGGTACAGCTGTCCAATTGATTACAAAGTTAAACAAGTTTATTTGTCTTTCGTACATGCCATATATCAATAATAATAATGTCAATTCTTCCATTATTTGTTTTACAAAGACAACGTTTTGTTTTTATATTTATGTTGATAGGTGTGAGCGGTAACGACATGTTTATCTCATCGAGGAAGCGGACAAAATTGATTTTTTGTGAGTGCCGAAGCGATGAGGGAAAATGCCATTGTTGAGTCACAAGTCATAACATTGTCAGCTGACAAGAAAATAGAAAGGTTCTAATTATTTCTTGAATGTGTGTTTCACCAAAGTGTTCAGAAGATGGTACTCGTTGTAACTACCTGAGATTGGCACGTTATGGGTGAAACATGGAACGTCGACACGGAGTCTGTAGAACCGCATAATGACAGGAATATCCATGTTTGGCCATTAATATTTTTTCTCAACTCTAGCCTGAACCAGCAAAAGAGGGGAAGACGAAAACAATAAATAATAATGTAAAACAATTTAATATTATTCACTAATTATGTAATCTATTTCATGTCTGTCCTTATCTTATAACAACCAGTTTTGTGATTATGAATATATCGTTCTATGCTTATACATTTAACCTTATTGGTTATGCCTTGAGATAGACAAAAGCATGCTTAAAATATAAAAGCAGCTTATTTTATGAAATATTTAAATTTAGATCACTTGGCAACTACCTTTAAATATATTCATGACGTAAATCACGTGGCTTTTTTTCGGAAGCAATTTTGTAATACATGAAAATAAGAAAGATCAAGCTCACCTGGGTATTTTTTATGAGCGTGCGTTGGTAAGATTATTTTTGGTAACACACCGGGGCATACATTTCTACGGCGGCGGGGAAAACTTGAGCTGAGACTTCGTATTGTTTCCCATCGGAATGGAAATTTAGAGTAGGCAGGGGAAACACAAAAATTACGGACAGCCTTAACTCTAGACGTGGTATCTCGGTGGACTAGACTGAGTGAGTGATTTTAGTTTTACGCCGCTTTTGGCAATATTCCAGCAATATCACGGGGTACACCTAGAATGGGCTTGACACGTCGTATCCATGTTGGGAATCGAACGAGCGAACGCCTTAACCACTAGGCTACCCACGGCCCCCGGTGGGTAAGAACTATAAACTGGCACTAGTTCGGACTGGTAAAAGCATCCACGCACACACTTGCACCAACACACTAGAGTCAAACCCATTTCACGTTTCTAACCTAATTCACTCGAGTGAGATATACATCGTACATTGACAGATACTTGATCTCCTCATTAAGTGTATAATAAAAATATTCTATAGTTAATAATATTATATATATAGTTCGTGTGAACAGAGTAAGTTTGTATTAGTATATGTAAGCTGGTATATTCATTCCTAGATTAGAATTGAAATTCTTCAAAGGCATTTAGAAGTTGGTGTAGTAATACAACTTTAGATTAGAATTAGTCACAGAAATATGGAATTTTACAATATATGTCTACAAAATGAAAAATCAAATCAAAATGGAGCCTAGAACAATGCCTTGAGAGAGCTAAAGCAATCTTTGCCTGGTTGCCTGGGTATGCTGCGCTGACGCTGAATATACCAAGGGAGCCAGGCAAATTGAAGTTTGACTTACCAAATCATTTTAGACTTGAGTTTGATATTTTAAAATTTCTTTTAGGCCTGGGCGACAAACTAGTCCATTTAGGCAGCACCGCTGTTATTTGACAGCAAAGGACTTTCAAAACATGAGCATGTAAGCTAAATGAGATTTTATGTTGGCTCCTCCAATTATTTTTCAGCACACGATTTTGTTTTGAAATGGCAGCGACTTTAGTCGATATCGTTTATCCAAAAAATATATGTTTATTTAAATGATATTGAAAAGCTGTGCATTCAACACCTATTGAAGCACTGTAGTTTAAATCCATTATTTTACAACATGCTATATTACATGGAATCAACAAAGAGTATTTCACTTTCAAAGAGTTACCTCCCTTAGAACAGCTCTTCAAAATAATGATTAAGTTTGGTATCAACTTCCGGCTTCGTGTTGTGTAGAAATATCACGTTGACTAGTCAATAGAAGATGGGTAAAGATTCGAGTGAAGAACGAGGTAAGAGTTATATCTTACGCATCTAGTTACATTGATTCAACTGTATGATTTCACGATTCCATCGGGATGGGAGTTCCACCGAGAACCAAAGTGGTACCTTGCAGCGTTTCCGACATATCACCACTATCAGTGTATCACTGATATTCATAGACAAAACAGAAGTGTACGGGCGTACTTCTATGACGAGTTTGTGTGCAGTATACCGGTTGTATCCCAAGCGGACAAACTGTATTGACATGCCTTGACCAGCCGTCTTTGGGTTCTTGGCTTAGTGGTTAGAGGTATGAGGGGTCGCGTCACCAGACATCCCACTTTATCTCCGTGTAATAATCCAGTAATATCAATTTTTTGGACACTCCCCAAAGCTCGACTGGTTAGTGTTTGATGGACAATGGCGGACATGGTTTCCAGAAAAATATGAATGTCACTAACACCTGTGCAGTTAGTCCAGCATATAACTAGACGACTTTGCACTATACCAAGGTGTGCTCGACCTTGGCTGGAATACGAGTTTATTCATATGAACTACTGTGCAGTGCAATATTTACTTCCTTGTGTATGCATATCAACAAGGTAGAATGATCCATTAAATAGCACTAATTAACTGTGATGGTTTCATGGTCCTAAGGTAACTATCTGCTTCACTTTCTAACTGAGACAGTGATCCGGGAAGTGATGCAGCGCCCTCTGAGTCAGAAAAAGTGCACCCGATAATGTGCCCTTCTCTTATTCCCTATGATGATACCTGGCACCAGCTTCGTTGATCTTGCGTTCATTGATCATTAGATTTTGATGTGTTAGGGCTACAGTAGCTTACCCCTACTCTCAATAGCCCTTGTATACCTTTTCCGATCAACCCTTCGATTACAGTCATTAGGGTTAGCATGTTTTGGGACCCATTTCAATCGAACAGTTTTTTATGATGATAATCAAGCACTGATTAGTTGTGGCAGTACCCATGCTTCTGGGTTTATCGCTAATTGAATTAACCAATTTGTTTAGTCAAGCTTCAACCTGACCTGACAATGCCCTGTTTGCTCACACATGCTCATTGGAATCAGAATCACATTTTCAAGTCATGGAAAAAAGTTAAGGAAAAAGCAGGATAGACTCACATAGGTGTCTGTTGATTTTTCTTACAGAAAAGAACACCCAGGCATATGCAGCACTGGGTATTGGTCTCATCTGTGTCATCGTTGGGCTCCCATTGTGGTGGAAGACTACAGAGGTGTATCGCGTGCAGCTACCATATGGAGAAATCACAACACTTGCAGCCACAAAGGTTAACATATGTGATGATGAAAACTACTTGCCATGAAATTAAAGGAACAGTTATTAGTGGCCTGCCCAATACATCCACATTATAATAATGTTCAATAAAATCTTCATACATGTTCCCGTTTGAGAGTGAGAAATTCCTTTTGAATTGTCTATAATGGAAGAACAAAACATGAATCATGTCTAGAAGTAATACTGTATGTGTTCACCAATGCAAGTGTATGAAATAAGATAATGCATATTTAGCTCAGTTCCTTCCTCCCTAAATATATGTGTGCTTCTGTCTTCCGGACCGCCCTTAATCCAGAGCCCCAGCCCTTAATAATTTTCTGGCATAGGCAATAATTGATGGTGCTTTGATAAACCAATCATATGATTAAAAAGGATCAAAATTTGAGGAACAAATAGTGTGCCCTAACATGTCCTAAAATGCGAAGTACATGTTCTCGTGTATTTTATCACATTTGTTTTGGACTCTCATTTATACTTATACATGTGGCGGTGGGGTAGCCCAGTGGTTAAAGCATTCACTTGTCACACCGAAGACCCGGGTTCAATTCCCTACATGGGTCTGGTGTCCCCCGCCGTGATATTCCTGGAATGTTGCTAAAAGCAGAGTAAAACCATACTCACTCACTCATTCACTATACTTACAGCTATACATGAGTTATACAGGAAACGTGGTTATGTTTCAGATTGAGTACCTGGTCAATGTGGAGATGATCAGTTTTGATGGCAGCATTGATTTGTCTCAGTTGAGCAAAGAGGTCCAATCAAGTCTATCTTCAGGTATAAATACCTATGTATGATATATTAAGACAATATAAAATATGACACTGTCATGTTCATGGTGATGACTTGTGGCATTTGATTTGACCACAAGTATCAGGGGAAAGTGCTACTATGATATGTCATAGCTTTGAGGCCTATGGACGCTCAGTTCTACACATTGATGCTGAACCATTAATGTAGAAAAAGCAAGTATCTTTTACATTATAAACTTGGTGTCTTTAAGTTGGTGTTTTTAACGGCGAAAATCAAGATATGAAATAATTTACATTGCGAAAATCAAGATATGAAGTAATTTACATTGCGAAAATCAAAATATGAAATAATTTACATTGACCTCAATGGCAAAGGAGCTGGAAGTTTTTCAAAAGATTCAAAGCTGGTGTGGCTTAAGGCCACTGGTGGATTGTAGTTAATCAGTGTATTAAATATGGGGACTGCAAATATTGCAATATTTAATCAAGCTTTGATTATGTCAAAACGTGCCACTTAAAACATTATCGCATGGTATCACTTCCCACTGTGATTACTAAGCAATATCTCGCAGTTATCCTGCAGTAGCTTGTATTGGTGGTCTGGACTGTGTTAACAATATGTTATTGGGACTGTAAAGTTTGTTGCAATGAAGATGTATATGTGATATTATGATGCATGTTTGTTTTAGAAAACAAGAAGACACTCATACCAACCTACAGAATTTCAGCCAGGGAACCTGTCAATGAAGAAATGGTTATGCTGAAAGTTGCTAGTTCTTTAAAAGGTATTGATTGTAGTATGATACAAATTCTGTGGTTTAAAATGTCATGTCACTCGATCAGATTAAAATGTTAATGTATTTGTGTTTGAATGTTAGTCATATTCACGATGTTCATGTACAGTAGAATACTTTTATAATGAACACGGATATAACGAACTGACGGCTATAGCGAACTGTTTTAAAATAAACCTCTGTATATTATCATATAAAACAAGCCGTGAATAACGAATTCTTTATAATGAACTTAATGGCTATAGCGAACTGATTTGCATCCCCGGGAGTCCCAGTTAACACTAATTATATAACGGTGTGAATAACGACCTGAGCGAACTCAATCAGTGTCAATATTGTGGTGCTCACCTTGAAATCTGTGTATAGCGAACGAGGTATCGTTGCTAAATCATCACACGGTGAAAGTTCATCAGTCAGCCCTGTCCTCGTTCTCAGCTGCCCGGTTACCTCGAAAAGTACGATTTGAATTTGCCGATTTGAATGAGGCTGTATGAAGTCGGCCTGTCGTATGAATGACTGAATAAACTGAGTAGGAATGTACCGTACTGTACAGTGTGTCTTTATTGTTCTTTCAATGGAACTTCATGAATAGCAAACTACGGATATAACGAACTAATTTCAGTGGTCCCTTGGAGCTTGTTATAAAGGTATTTTTCTGTAGTACCTTGTCTGTCAAGTGTCATACAGACCCTGAAACAAATATCCCCAATAAGGGAGTCAGATATCATATAGAGTTATCTTATTTTATACAGAGATATCTTTGGTAGTCATATAAGATTTTTTTCTTTCAGAACTGGACAGAAAGCTGACTAGTCATCTAGGAAATGAACGCAACAAATACTTCGTAGTTTTGCTAAAGGACAAATCGAAAATGTTCTCCACAAAAACTTTCATTGGCTGCAATAGGATCACATTCCTGAACCCCGCTGGCCAAGGTAGGCTGTTCTAATGAATGTTGATGTGCTTCCTAATTACTTTGAGGTGTTGCATCACTGATGATATGTGGAATGGTGCAACATTCCACCTTTCTGAGGGTAACCTGTTTGTTTGCTTGTTGTTTAATGTCGCTCTCAGCAATAATCCAGCTATATTGTGGCAGTATGTAAATAATCAAGTCTGGACCAGGCAACCCAGTGATCAACAGCATAAGTATCGATCTACACAATTGGGCTACAATGACACCCTGACGTTGTCTTATGACATGCATGGGTTGCTGAAGACCAATTCCAACCCAGATCTTCACGAGCAGCGGGTGACCAGTAAATAATTTTGTTAGGACCAGACCAATGGTTGATGTTAAGAGCAAGCAGCAAGTAAGTCACAGAACTTGACCAGCAATTCCATTTTGGCAGAGTCTTACAGCATGGTTTGAATAGATATCTCTTTAGGTAAGCAAGAAATCAAGTCTCAAGCCAAAGAACATAGACAAAAAAACTTTTCTTGAACATTTCTTTTCTCTGACAAAATTCTTTCCCTATCACAAGAGATGCCTTGCAGGCTGGATAGTAATTTTTCTTGTGCCTGTGACTTCAGATGTGACCTCACTGGGGAAGGCGGTGTCTTCTGTGCTGAAGGAAGTGATTGTCAGAGAAGCAGCAGTGAAGAAGAGTCTGGTTGCTGCCAAAGGAGCAAGGTCTTTGAAGGTAATGAGATTACCATGGTTACTGAGAGGAAGGAATTAAATGACCACTTTGGTTTCTAGAATTCTTTATTCCTTTAGGTAATAAATCATTGTCAGTACACAGGTATCACAAACCTTTGCTCGTACTCCAAAGGGGAATAACTCTCAATAGTTTGAGTAAAAACATTGCCCCCCAAACATCTTCTTAACAGTTACTGCATATGTCTTGAAAATCATGTAAACTGTAATGGAGTATAGAGGTGAGTGGTGATGGACAGTATTTGATATATATTTGTAAGGGGGACTACCTCTCAAGGGTTTGAGTAAACACTATTGCCCTAAAAACATCTCAACAGTTACTGCAGATGTCTTGAAAATCATGTACATCTAAATTATGATGGAGGTACCAGGCCCAGAAATGGGCTTCACACATTGTACCCATGTGGGGAATCGACCCGGGTCTTTAGTGGAATGGGCAAGCGCCTTAACCTCTAGGCTACCCCACCACCCCTGCCTCAATACAAGGCCATGTAAAATACTCCTACGATTATAATGACAAACTATATGAATAACAGATTCTTTTATTTCGTGAGTGCAATGTTTCAATACAGATTCTTGTACCCTGCATGACAATGGTACAAAAATCCGTACCTCCTTGACAACAGTACGAGAATCTGTAACAGTAGTAGCAGAGACCTAAGTAAAATAATGTAAGCATTTGGAGTCTTTGAAAATGTTCTGACTAGTGTTGGGAATTGGTTGAAATCTCACAATTGATGATTGGTTCAATACCAACGACCTATCATCGAAAGAAAAATTGGTTAGCGTCATTTTTCAGATTTTCCTATTCAGGTTGTAGTTGCAGATAAGTATAAAGAAAAAAACATTTGGTTCTCTGTTGTTGTGTTTAGAAACTGCACAAATTACATTTGCAGATTTCACATCCAGTGTAAAATGATTCAGTTCCAGTGTAACATTAACTTCCCAGATTCTTCAAGAAATATTCAGTCATGACTTTTCAGAAAGTGAAGTGAGTTTTCTTGGAAATAAACACGCTTTCAGGCCCTGACAACGTCCTAATATTGTTCCATCATCAAGTATTTCAAACTCTGTTACAGCGGTTCCAAAATTGTTTGTGATTGATTATGAAAAATGTGATCGATTGCTTGGTCGTTTGGCCACTGCGACCAATCTTCAATTATTTCAATTAATCGGACCACCACTAGTTCTGACTTGTCATTCATTTGACATGTTAAACATTTATAATCTGTTTGGTTTCATGTCACGTTTAATCATGTTCATGTAACACTTTGTTGGACCTGTAGTCTGTAAATTATGTCGATGTATATTTTCATTCAGCCAGACAAGGAAAGCATGAGATCACTGAGGTCAACACCTGGATATGATATGACCTTCACCTTGGTAAACCCTCAGCCAGATATTGTTGATGCACAGTGGGACATCAAGGCTGGGATTGAGGGTACGTGAGCTAGGTCCTCGACATTGAAAACAAAATCTTCCCTTTTATACTTTGCAGGTTATGGTTGTCAGTGGTATTGTGCTTGATTTGAAAGTAACATACAGTTATGTTGGAGGTTTTACATGCAGTCTTGTAACTTGGAGTCCAATAATGGTTGGTTTGAATCCCTCAGACTAGTGAAGATCTGGGTTAGAATTGGTCTTCAGCAACCCATGCTTACCGTAAGCGGCGACTAACAGATCAGTTGGTCAGGCTCGCTGACTTGGTTGACACATGTCATCGTATCCCAATTGTATAGATCGATGTTCATGTTGTTGATCACTGCATTGTCTGGTCCAGATTGGAATATTTACAGACCACCTTCATATAGCAGGAATATTGCTGAGTGCGATGTTAAACAACAAACCAAACCAAAAACACTGTTTACTGGGACCCTTCTCCAAACCGGAATCCCAAAGCAGTCCAGATGGAAGACTGCTCATGCTGTAGACCACGAGTTTCCTTACCATGCATAACCCAGAAATGACCATTACAATTAGCCTTGTAACAGCTGGATCCTGGTCGGACAAGACGTACAACAAGACGTAACTCCTTTGCATGTGGACATTTAAATAATTGGGCAACAGACCAACAAACGCAGCCGATGATTGGAAGCATTATATTGAATCCCAGATTAGTGCTCATGCTGTCAACCACAAGTTTCCTTAATAATAATAATTGCATTTGTATAGCGCATCATTCACTAATAAATGCTCTGTGCGATTAAGATGGAAATTGACACTTAAAAAGAAATGTTTTGAGGCCAGTCTTAAAAGATGTTAGTGACTCGCTGGTTTTGAGTTCAAGCGGTAGCGCATTCTTCTTCATTGCTGCATTGAAAGCGAACGACCTTTTGCCAAAGTTGGTTTTGATGTTTGGCACTGTCACTAGCATTTGGTTTTGTGATCTCAGTGAGCGTGAGGGCTGATACAGGGGCAGTAACTCTGCGAGGTAGTTCCTGATCATGTATAACCCAGAAATGATCATTACAATCAGCCTTGTAACAGTCGGCCATGGCGTAAAACACCACTAACTCCTTGGCATGTGGATATTTGAAACGAGCAGGCATGATAAAATCCATTGAACATTTATAGAATTCTGACCAGTTACAATATTCAGCAGAGTAACACGACTGTAATTGTGTTACAGCTTACCTGAAACCCTTCCTGAGTAAGCTGGATGCCTTCGCAGACTTCACCCTGACGTCACAGGTGAGTTATCAAGGTGTCGAGATACATTGTCAAAATCTGCTAGATTAGATGTTAACACTAATATCAGTAATTTGCCAGCTTGCTGGTCAGGCTCAGTGTCTTTGCTGATTTGGTTCCATGATATCCATATGGAATATGATGCTTCTTCATCATCTTCAGTCAATCATGAGTGAGTGAGTTTAATTTTACACCGCTTTTAGCAATATTCCAGCAATATCACGGCAGGGGACACCAGAAATGGGCTTCACACATTGTAAACATGTGGCGAATCGATCAGTCAGTGGATTGTCTAGACCAGACTGGAATATTGCTGATTACAACACAGATCACCGAATTATTAACAAAATGGAGTTCATATGTTGTCTTTTGGGTTGCAGTACCATCATGAACTAATTTAAACACTTGTACATGTCCTAAACCGTGAAAGTCAAGAAAGACAGGTGGGGTGGATGATTGCGTCAGTTGACATGACAGAGGGACCCTGTACCCACCTGTACCTATCTCACCAGTGTTGGTAATCAGTTAGTGAGAGAGGGGCGGTGGGGTAGCCTAGTGGTTAGAGCGTTGGCTCGTCACGCTGAAGACCCGGGTTCGAATCCCCACATGGGTACAATGTGTGAAGCCCATTTCTGGTTCCTGCCTTGATGTTGCTGGAATATTGCTAAAAGCGGCGTAAATCCAAACTCAGTCAGTCAGTTAGTGAGAGAACCAGGTGATGTTGTAGGTACTGTACTTCACTGGTCTGGTGCGTCGCCCCCAGAGGAACTCCGTGACAGGGGACTCCTTCTACACAGAGCAGGACCTGCCTCATCTCATCACTCCGCTCGAGTCCAAGCTAGGTGAGAACTCCCCTTCTGCATATAGTACTTGTAGATTCTTCTGTGTTCTGTACAGAGTTGCTTCCCTTAGTCCTGCCAGTATCTGGTTATCTCTTTTTTTAGTCCCAGATTTTCCTAAATTATTATCAACAGCAATATAATGCTGACAGGGGCGGATACAGCTTTTTGAGAAATGTTGTGCGGCACAGTTCATTTTCACCCATTTTCATGAGCGTTTCAATGGTCAATTAATAAACTTTGAGGACAAAAGGGGGTGCACACCCCTGCACCCCTCTCTGGTTCTGACGTCTTATGAGTTCTGGTCTGGGGAGATTAAGGGGGCTGACATTTTCATGTTATGTAGAAGGAGGGGTTTGCTTTCTAAGGAGATAGTTGTCCTTAGGTCACGACAAAGGGTCATTGTTTTTTGGATGTTGCTCTTAATATCAATCACTGATCTCAGACAAAGAAGACATCGCTCCATATGTGTTTACAAGTAATTATTTCTTGTTCTGCGGACAGGTTCTCACACGTCCAACAACCCCGCTCTAAACTTCCTGGTGTACATACCAACACGAGACCAGAGTCCGCTATATGTCAAGGATAAATCAGGTAATTGTTGTGTAGTGTACATACCAACACGAGACCAGAGTCCGCTATATGTCAAGGATAAATCACGTAATTGTTGTGTAGTGTACATACCAACACGAGACCAGAGTCCGCTCTATGTCAAGGATAAATCAGGTAATTGTTGTGTAGTGTATATACCAACATGAGACCAGAGTCTGCTCTATGTCAAGGATAAATCAGGTAATTGTTGTGTAGTGTACATACCAACTTGAGACCAGAGTCCGCTCTATGTCAAGGATAAATCAGGTAATTGTTGTGTAGTGTACATACCAACACGAGACCAGAGTCTGCTCTATGTCAAGGATAAATCAGGTAATTGTTGTGGAGTGTACATACCAACACGAGACCAGAGTCTGCTCTATGTCAAGGATAAATCAGGTAATTGTTGTGTAGTGTACATACCAACTTGAGACCAGAGTCCGCTATATGTCAAGGATAAATCACGTAATTGTTGTGTAGTGTACATACCAACACGAGACCAGAGTCTGCTCCATGTCAAGGATAAATCAGGTAATTGTTGTGTAGTGTACATACCAACACGAGACCAGAGTCTGCTCTATGTCAAGGATAAATCAGGTAATTGTTGTGTAGTGTACATACCAACTTGAGACCAGAGTCCGCTCTATGTCAAGGATAAATCAGGTAATTGTTGTGTAGTGTACATACCAACACGAGACCAGAGTCTGCTCCATGTCAAGGATAAATCAGGTAATTGTTGTGGAGTGTACATACCAACACGAGACCAGAGTCCGCTCTATGTCAAGGATAAATCAGGTAATTGTTGTGTAATGTACATACCAACACGAGACCAGAGTCTGCTATATGTCAAGGATAAACCACGTAATTGTTGTGTAGTGTACATACCAACACAAGACCAGAGACTGCTCTATGTCAAGGATAAATCAGGTAATTGTGTAGTGTACATACCAACACGAGACCAGAGTCTGATCTATGTCAAGGATAAATCAGGTAATTGTGTAGTGTACATACCAACACGAGACCAGAGTCCGCTCTATGTGAAGGATAAATCAGGTAATTGTTGTGTAGTGTACATACCAACACGAGATAACAGTCCGCTCTATGTCAAGGATAAATCAGGTAATTGTTGTGTAGTGTACATACCAACACGAGATAACAGTCAGCTCTATGTCGAGGATAAATCAGGTAATTGTGTTGTGTACAAACTGACACGAGACCAGAGACTGATCTACGTCAAGAATTATTCGTCTCACTGACGCTGATGTCTGATGTACATACTAACATGAGGAGTATAAAGTTGTCTTGTTCATATATTTGAAGTTTCTTGTCATGAAAGTAAATCTATGAAATATTTATTTCATATGAAATTCTGGGATCATGTCATCCAATTTGCAGATTTAGCCGATGCATGTTATACTTTCCAAATGGGGCAGATGTTCATGTTGTCAGTCACTAGATTGTCTGGTCCAGACTTTATCATTTGTAGACATAATCATGAAGCTTGGATATTGTTGAGTGCAGTTTTTAAGCAACAGGGAAAATGAGACTTTACTGACTTTCACAGATAAGGCTGTCCCAAGCAATGCATTCTTCAGTCCGCGGTGGGGAGGGATCTGGATAAGCAATGTGGAAGTTCCCCCCAACTCCAGTCTACCCCACTCCATCAATATTGATGTCAGGAAGATGATGGAGGTGTTCATCACTCAGATGCGGATGTTGCTCAACCTGCAGGGCCAGGTAGGGTTTGTTGATGTAACTCATTTAGATATACATTAGTCACTCATTTACAGTTAGTCACTCATTTACAGTTAGTCTTGTATTTACAGTCAGTCTTGTATTTACAGTTAGGCACACATTTACAGTTAGGCACACATTTACAGTCATTCATTCATCTACAGTCAGTCTTGTATTTACAGTCATTCATTCATCTACAGTCAGTCTTGTATTTACAGTCAGTCATGTATTTACAGTCAGTCATGTATTTAGAGTTAGTCTTGTATTTACAGTTAGGCACACATTTACAGTTAGTTGTTCATTTACAGTCAGTCTTGTATTTACAGTTAGTCACTCATTTACAGTCGGTCATGTATTTACAGTCAGTCATGTATTTACAGTCGGTCATGTATTTAGAGTTAGTCTTGTATTTTCAGTTAGGCACACATTTACAGTTAGTCGCTCATTTACAGTCAGTCATGTATTTACAGTTAGTCACTCATTTACAGTCGGTCATGTATTTACAGTCAGTCATGTATTTACAGTTAGTCACTCAGTTACAGTCGGTCATGTATTTACAGTCAGTCATGTATTTACAGTTAGTCTTGTATTTACAGTTAGGCACACATTTACAGTTAGTCATGTATTTACAGTTAGTCATGTATTTACAGTCAGTCATGTATTTACAGTTAGTCATGTATTTACAGTTAGTCTTGTATTTACAGTTAGGCACACATTTACAGTTAGTCATGTATTTACAGTTAGTCTTGTATTTACAGTTAGTCACTCATTTACAGTTAGTCATGTATTTACAGTTAGTCATGTATTTACAGTTAGTCTTGTATTTACAGTTAGGCACACATTTACAGTTAGTCATGTATTTACAGTTAGTCATGTATTTACAGTCAGTCATGTATTTACAGTTAGTCATGTATTTACAGTTAGTCTTGTATTTACAGTTAGGCACACATTTACAGTTAGTCATGTATTTACAGTTAGTCTTGTATTTACAGTTAGTCACTCATTTACAGTTAGTCATGTATTTACAGTTAGGCACACATTTACAGTTAGTCACTCATTTACAGTTAGTCATGTATTTACAGTTAGGCACACATTTACAGTTAGTTGCTCATTTACAGTCAGTGATGTATTTACAGTTCGTCGCTCATTTACAGTCAGTCATGTATTTACAGTTAGTCATGTATTTACAGTTAGGCACACAGTTACAGTCGGTCATGTATTTACAGTCAGTCATGTATTTACGGTTAGTCTTGTATTTACAGTTAGTCGCTCATCTACAGTCAGTCATGTATTTACAGTTAGTCATGTATTTACAGTTAGGCACACAGTTACAGTCGGTCATGTATTTACAGTCAGTCATGTATTTACAGTTAGTCTTGTATTTACAGTTAGTCGCTCATCTACAGTCAGTCATGTATTTACAGTTAGTCGCTCATTTACAGTCAGTCATGTATTTAGAGTTAGTCATGTATTTACAGTTAGGCACACATTTACAGTTAGTAACACATTTACAGTCAGTCATGTATTTACAGTCATTCATTCATCTACAGTCAGTCATGTATTTACAGTTAGGCACTCATTTACAGTCAGTCATGTATTTACAGTCATTCATTCATCTACAGTCAGTCAGGCATTTGCAGTCAGTCATTCATCTACAGTCAGTCAGGCATTTGCAGTCATTCATTCATCTACAGTCAGTCACAACCAAGATACAACTACATATTGTAAGGATATTTAATGGGTGGTGCCATTTCCTATATCTATAAAAAAGTGAGGTCTGAAAATTTCATGGCTAACTTGACTGTTGAACTGTTTCAGGTATCCAGTGCCGATCTGTCATTCGCTGACCTGGAGAACCAGGGCATCACACCATGGGTAAGTGTTAGGTAACACATGTAAGTTATATCAATGCAAGCTAGCTTAATGGTGGAGGAATGCTTGAACTGACGTGTCAGATGTTTACCGACAAGCATGAGGATGGTGCTGAAATACCTAGAAATATTAATGGGCCGAACCGGGAGTCCAACCATCAGTCATAAGATCCTGGTTTGCCCAAGGGTTGCAACTCTGCACAGCAAAGTCATAACAGGTGACTAACAGGATCAGGTGGTCAGGCTCACTGGCTTGGTTGACACATGTCATCGGTTCCCAATTACGCAGATCAATGCTCATGCTGTTGATCACTGGCTTGTCTGGTCCAGACTCGATTATTTACAGACCGCCTGCCATATAGCTTGAATATTGCTGAGTGCGGAGTAATACTAAACTCACTCACTCACACTGCACAGCAATTGTGTGCCTTAGACAACTTCACAGTCTGTGTCCCTAGGATGCATTAGTTTAGTTTAGGATGTTTGTCTTTTAACACTGCACTCAGCAATATTCCTGCTTTCTGTAAATATTTGAGTCTGGACCAAGCAGTCCAGTGATCAACAGCATGAGCATCGATCTCAAGGATGCATTAAGAGTATCCAGTTGTCAATAGAGGACATATTGTAAGTATATAAATGATTGTTCTTTCACTGTTTCATTCTATGCAGGAGGTGGATGCATGGCTGAGGAGTTTCTGTGTGGAGAACATCGCCACATCGGCAGGAACGTTGTCCTCCCTTGCTCAGCTGCTTGGGGAGATCGGCAACATCGTCATCAAGGATGACATTGGTACTGAGGTAAGTTTCAACAACGCTGCATCACTGCTACAACTGTTCCAAATTTAACTGAACGGTCTATACATCACCCTGGTCTATACATCACAGGTGACTGGGGATCAGGTCTAACCTTGAGTCCCAAAATTATCTCCCCTTTAGATTTGCAATGGGGTGCTGGGGACATGCTCTGCCCGAGGTCGCCAGATTGCTTCATATGTAGGATTTAGCCTCTGTGTAAACAGCTGTGATACAAAGCACCCTTAGAGAAAACTAAAGCAAATATTCACTTTTCAGGTTGTGTCAGGAAGATTACTAAACATTACCAACTTTGACAGTATTGGCATTTGTTTTGAATTATAATTTATCCACACAACTTTACATACTACACTCGTGCATTTTCATGGAATTTGAAGGAAGGCCATATTAGCAGTGCGTTCTGGACTATAAATTTGGCTCAGTATTGATAGCAGTTTAAATCTAAGTTGGGCACCCAAATAATGTTTTGAAAACAGGAGTCTCAAGGATGATACCATTTAATGACTGTTGAATTGCAGGTTGAATCATCTGTGGCGGCCATCAGGGAGAGTCTGAGACAACTGGCAGAGGGACAACTAGAGGAAGCATTTCTTTCCTCCAAGAGAGCTCTCATAGCTTCAGGTGGGTTTCCGTTCTTGTTCTTTGTCTCTTTCTCAGCTTCTTTGACTGCAGGCAGGAAGAAGAAAATTATATATAAGACACCAGCTTTTGTCTGAGAATATAACTGACAGGATGTTTGTTCAAGATGTGTTCAATAATCATTCACAGGTTGATAATGCTTGTGCTGTTTTTTAAAGTGGAACAGTATTGGTGTTGAGAGAGCGAAGCTCAACGAAGTTGAGAGAAAAGCAATGGCTTGGGAGACTAACAGCCACTGAATTGAAAATGATTGATAATCCTTGTTTTGTAAATGTACATGGAAGACTTGACACAAGTGATTTTGCGTAGATCGATGCGTAGATCGATGCTCATGCTGTTGATCAGTGGATTGTCTGGTCCAGACTTGATTAGTTACAAACCACCACCACATACTGTAAATCATGAAATTAATGCGAGCATTTTATTAATGCGAAAAATGCGTCTGTACTCTTCTCGCATTATTATAATGACACATTTCAGTCTGACCATGTCTACTTAATATAAGACAGAAAACGTAAATCTGTTGACACTACACATTACACCAATACAGGTCACTTCCTCATTACAGGTATCTCAAGCCACATGTAATTATCACTGGTTACAATCACTGGGCATTGTTTAAAGTCACTCAAGCACATCAGCCAGGCCGGGACATTCTCCAGCCACTTGTTTCTTGTACCTTGGTTGATGACTTGGTAGATGACTTGTATCTTTCAAGTTGGATTACGTTTATACATCTTGTCATAAGACAAGTAGTTAGCAAGCAATCATGTGATCAAACATGGCAGCTTAATCAAAACATCATCAGCTCATTTCCATTCATTGCTTAACAAGCTCAATTCATTTTATCATCAACACAGATTCCTGAGCTCGCATTAGTTTCGTGACGCATTTTAGACTAGACCCTCGCACTCGCATTCGTGACGCATTAATTTCATGATTTACAGTAGCTGGAATGTTGCCAAGTGCAGTGTTAAACAACAAACAAACAAACAACACATAACCTGTTCATTGATATAACATGTATATGTATAAGTTTCAGTAACAGTTAATGAGATTGTCCATTTGATTGCAGAAAAGGCTTTCTTTGATCCTTCCTTGCTGGAACTCTTATACTTCCCTGAAGATCAAAAGTAAGTCAGCCCACTCCATAATTTACACTGGGGAAATAGTTGGAATATTGGTAACCGTTCATACATTCACTTTATTACCCACGTGGTCAACGTATGGGTAGTTGCATGCTAATCTCATACGTCACACGAGTGTCGTATCACGTTGACCTGTGTCGTAACGACTTGACCTGACATTCTAATGATTTGATTGGATAACTGATAAACTCTCAGTTAGGTCACGTTGTGACGGAACTACTTGGTCATTCATAACAAACACGTGAATTCATTCATTCTACAACTTATATGCATTGTGGGAATGTAAACATTGCGAACGTTGCCGTATCGCTGTTTAATTGTGAGTCGAACTGAGACATTATATGCGTTGAAAAACATAAACGCAAAGTTTCCACCAGTGATGATAACCGAGTGAAGCAACTCCAAACCAAGAAACGGGGCGCTACAGAGTAGTATAATGTAGGAGGCTGTACGAGGCGATGACAGCTGACATGCATCGTGACATCGGTTACCAAGGGGGCAGACAAGCAAAGCGTAGTGACGTCATTACACTGTGACATCATGCAAAAGGTGTACTACAGAACAACATTCTTCCGCAACCTGTTTATGAAACCGGTTTCGGTTTGAAACCATAAAAATAACAAAAATACGCTATTTTGTCAATTTAAAGCATGTAAGACGTGGGTAATAAATAAATACCACACTCGGTCTCATAACATACTAATTATACAAAACCTGTGACCTTCCTATGGTTTCTGACATGCTTTCGCTCGGTCAGATACCATAGGAAGGACACTCATTTCGTATAACTCGTATGTAATGAGACCTCGTGTAGTATTCTCTATGTATCCCTAGGTGGTCAGTGTGAATGATCATAGAATCAATAGCTGTTGTACTTGTCATGGTATAAAGGGGTATTGGGGTAGCCTAGTGGTTAAAGCGCTCGCTCATCACACTGAAAACCCAGTTCATCTTCCCACATGGGTACAATGTGAACCTCTATTGTGTCCTCTGCCGTGATATTGCTGGAATGTTGCTTAAAGTGGCATAAAACCCCACTCACTCGCTCATGATTCACAGGTGGATTAGAATGGACCCAGCATCCTGTGCTGGTCGATCAAGTGGATCGGATGGTCGGATATGATGATATGGTGGATTGCATGTCATCGTAACCCAATGCCTTGGGTTGCTGCTCACAGTATTGATCACTGATTTGGGTGGTCCCATTTTTCTCACTGCCATACGGTTGGAGCATTCTGATTGTGGCATTAAACAACAAACTAACAAAATGAACAAAATACTGTTGAATTGTTCTGTGGATATTCATGTTTGTTTATCAAAGTCAATAAATAAAGTCGATTTATCTCTTCACATGAAATTCATAATGTATTCAGTGTCATGCCCCTGCAGGTGTTTTGTGTTAAACGTCCCCAGTCACCAGTGTCTGTAATACAAGTAGACTTAATGGGGATTCTGGTGGTGGTGGTGGTGGAATTGGGTTTAACGTCGTGCTTGAGAATATTTCGCTCATATGACGACGTGCATGCTTGTGTATGTGTAAGTGCGGCTGCTTGTACTAGCCCAGACTGAAGCTGGTTTTATAGTGCTAGCTCACTGAGATACCATGCCGCAGTGAAGCAGGAATACCCCACTCAGACACATTATACTGACTCTGAGCCAACCAGTCCTTGTTGTACCCATTAATGCCGAGCGCCAGGCAGGGACCAACAAGTACCATATTTTAACGTCTTTTGGTATGACGCGGTCGGGGATCGAACCCGCGACCTTCCGCACTCCGGGAGGACGCTCTAACCACTACACCATGGAGGCGGTCAATGGGGATTCTGAGTTAGAATGGCAGTATATGTTACTCATCACATCAATCACTGGTTTTGTACTAGATCAATCTCCTTGAAAATCCCTGTCATGTGTCCATGTTGTTCCAGATTTGCCATCTACATCCCCTTGTTCCTGCCCATCAGCATCCCCGTGTTCACGTCACTGGTGCAGGCCATCAAGTGGTTCCGCAGCAGGAGGAAACAGAAGACGGAGTGACCGCACCATCACTAGTCGATTCATTCTATGCAGTGTCACTGGAACAGGCCTTGGCTCAGACAGCAGTTGTAGCGATATGACTATAAATTCTCATATACATTTCATCGTCACGATATGGCTGAAATATTGCCGATGTGACGTTAAATTTTAACTCACTTCTCATATACTTTTCAGCTTTCAAAATAATCATGGAAAGCAAAGAACCTAGTTTTAGAAATAACCTTATAAATTTTGTCAATGTTATCAAAGTAAGATTAGAGGTGGCGCCTGGACTGAACTTCCAAATTCTCATGGATCCCAGTAATATTTGGAACAGTTAGTCTCAGAACTTATTGCATTTCAGTTGAATTTGATCAATAGTATGAACGGGATGATATTTGACTGTGATGTGACAGCATTATATTAGCTCACCTAACCTCCAGTGAAATATGTTTGTTTGGCCTGTTAGTACATCATCTGAAAGCTGAATCTTTTATGCTTGCTCCACCAATGATGACACCCAACATATTCAGGTCTGAATGCATACATTGCCACCTTGACAGAAGCTGTAGAAACAGTTTTGCTAAAACAAAATAATTTTCAACATGTCATAAACACAGATAAGTTCCTTTACACAAAATAGTTGATATTTTTTGTTACAGGTTAGGAAACATTATTTAAATGTGGTAACATGATTCATATATAGAAAATAGATATTTGTATTTTTGCAGAATGTATTTTGAATATTAATGTTGTCAAACACTTTTGTTAAGTACTGCCTTTGTTTACATATTCAACTGTTGACTGCTTGTCCAGGTGAGCTACAGGGCTTGGTCTGGCACCAGGTGTACTTGGCTCACAGACCTGTTCTAGTTTGAAGAACAAAGCCTGATGGATAATACCAAGAGCATTGGTCCAGACATCCTCGTGTATCAAGTGTAATTTATCTTCATGCTATCAGGGGCGAAGACCCAGGTTAAACTTGGCGCTAAACTAAACTCACTATCTGATTTTAGCTTGTATGCAAGTTAAGCTAGAACTTTAAAGGTCTTGAAGCCAAGGAATTCCATCCCTGAGGATAATACACCCCAAAACATCTTATAGAACAGTCCTATGATTTACTTTACATGAGCAACATGTGATATGGGGAGATGAAATGGGGTTAGCTGTCAAGATTTTTGCTCTAATGTATAGTGTGTGTATGTGCGTTTGTGTGATTTGATAGTGCTAGCTCAGTCACATGACACACCTCAGTTTAACATATATACCCCACTAAAACTGTGTATACACTCTCTGAGCTGGCCAGTCCTTGTTTTATCCTGTTAATGCTGAGCACCAGGCAAGGTAACAATAAGTACCATATTCTGACGTCTTTTGGTTTGACACTTTGGGAATCAAACTAACCTGTGCTCCCCAGCAGATGCTCTGTCCACTAGACCGCACAGACAATAATTTGTTGGTAAGAGATGTGGAGGGGTCACTCCGAAGTGAAGCTGTTGAGGTAAATCTGCCGCTTAGTCTTTTGTGGAAAAGTATTAAAGATAAACGCTTGATAATAAAGGATGGAATCTTGGCTGTATTCTCTGAAATAATTGAAAGAAAATATGTTTCTGTTATTATATGTGTATTGGTTGAACAAGATGGTGTTTGTGTAAGTGTCTGACTTGTTTTGTGTAAATGTCTGACTTGTTTGTATAGCTGGATACATCTCAGACTGTGATATCAGTGTCATCCAAGTGGATATCTTTACATCATTGCTGTATATTGGGTCTTAGCTGTAGGTGTGTGTGATTATTTGAGAGAAATTATTCTGGGCTATGGCTGCTGCTTTGATGAAATGATATCATACATCTCGTGTCACGGTTGCAATTTTGATGAAATGATATCATACATCTCATGTGTCATGGGTGCAATTTTGATGAAATGATATCATACATCTCATGTGTCATGGGTGCAACTTTGATGAAATGATATGCATCTCGTGTCACGGTTGCAATTTTGATGAAATGATATCATACATCTCGTGTCATGGGTGCCATTTTGATGAAATGATAACATACATCTCATGTGTCATGGGTGCCATTTTGATGAAATGATATCATACATCTCGTGTCACGGTTGCAATTTTGATGAAATGGCGTCAGGTACTTACGTCAAGGTTGCAAGTTTGATCACAGTATATCATACATCTCATGTGTCATTGGTGCAACTTTGATGAAATGATATCATACATCTCGTGTCACGGTTGCAATTTTGATTAAATGATATCATACATCTCATGTCAAGGTTGCAACTTTGATGAAATGATATCATACATCTCATGTCACGGTTGCAACTTTGATGAAATGATATACATCTCGTGTCACGGTTGCAATTTTGATGAAATGGCGTCAGGTACTTACGTCAAGGTTGCAAGTTTGATCACAGTATATCATACATCTCATGTGTCATGGGTGCAACTTTGATGAAATGATATCATACATCTCATGTCACGGTTGCAATTTTGATGAAATGATATCATACATCTCATGTGTCATGGCTGCAATCTTTATGAAATGCACATGACTCACATGCATCTTTTTCTAACCAGCATTTATGCAGTTGTTTTCCAAAAAAGAAATCGAGTTTTGGAAGGGGAGAGTACAATATACATCATATTGATGCACATATAATAGTAGGTGAAAACTGACGGCTAATCCAGGATGTACAGGTGGCACGATCTTTGCCAATATGCTGGACTATTACTTTGTCAGCTCCACAAGCCACCATGTCATAGGTCAAATAGTGCTGAAGGTGCGTTCTCACGGTGCGACTTGTAGCAACAACTTGTAGCATGTAACACAGTAGCAACGTGAGAACACCCAAATCGTAACGATTTGAAATTACATCAACTAGTCACAGCCGAGTTGTAAGACACAGGATTTGTACTAATTCCTTCTACAAGCTCTCCAATCAATCAATAAGATCTGTGTTCACCTCCCAGTGATATCATGTTGGAGACATGACTGAAACAAAATGCCGTGTTCCGCCTAAGAATCCAGTTGCGGACCCACACCGACTTAAGCTTTCTCTTCTTCTTTAGTGACTGCGATATGTAGGCTGATATTACGGCTACGAGTTTCTTTTTGACAAATCCATGTTAGCAGTCTTTTGACATAAGTGAGAATCGCGCAAGATACAAGTTTTATAAGACACGAATAGCAAAGGCGTTAAGATCTTTGTTGTCACACAAGTCACACCGTGATGACGCACCTTTAGCACCATCCAAAACCCCAAGGTCATGCTGACAAATGGTGCAGGTGTTGCACTATAAAACATTTTAGGACATCATAGATAATTGTTTACCTTATATGGACTATTCCATTCACCATTCCCTGTGTTTCTTGCGATGTGTTTTTTGTTTTGAATGTCACTTTTTTGTATGGATGTTTGTATGATTAGAGGATATTTTGTAATAAAAGATACACGAAAAAAAGGTTGTTTATTCTTTGTAAATGTTATCATAAATGTGTTGAAACATGTGAATATATATGTTATGTATTCTTCTGAACAGGGAAAAGAAATTCTTTGACATTAAACTTTAAACATTTTATCTGAATCACTGGTAGATTAGAGAAAAAGTGTACAAATCGGATTGCTATTTCTGGCTTAGCTGACAATACAAATACACACAAAAATCTTTAACTGTACATATAAAGCAGTAACAATGCCCAGCATAACAGGAACTACAACTGAAATTGTGACTTGTCATGTCTAGTAATGTTTGAATGCAAGTTTCCTATTTCCATTTTGGGGGCTGTGGGGTAGCCTAGCGGTTAAGGCGTTCGCTCGTCACGCCGAAAACCCGGGTTCGATTCCCCACATGGGCACAATGTGTTAAGTCCATTTCTGGTGTCCCCTGCCATGATATTGCTGGCATATTGTTAAAAGCGGCGTAAAACTAAAACTCACTCACTCACTATTTCCATTTGCAAGGTTTGTTCACCTCCAGCAATAAGCATGTGACATAGTTTTGACTAAGAAAAATGCACAAAATATCTTTAATGCTATGCACAGGAAAAATATGATATTTCATGGTCTTGATTCCTTGTTATGCATAACGCGGATGTCTCATAATATAGGGGATCATCCATGGACCCCCAGACCCGCATTATTGCGAGGTATGACTGTATTATCACACATTTACATCCCAAACTTATCCAGATGCGTTTTTTAGTACATGCTCAAATGTGGCATATTTGTTCCCTGGCCATTGCATCCATATGGTTTCCAGTAATCATTCTCAACTCCCTCAGGAGTATACAATCCAAGGTGCCTGGGGGCACTCAGTTTTAGCATCAACCACTTGTCCTAAACTGAAATTGAGACAGCTGAATATGTGTGCTCTTAATGGAAACATACAAACATCAGAACACTAACACGTTAAGGTTTCCTGGTTGGAACTGATCTCCAGCAACCTATGAGGTGAGGTGAAATTGGGTTTTACGTCGTGCTTGAGAATATTTTGCTCATATGACGACGTGCATGCGTGTGTATGTGTATGTGAGGCTGCTTGTACTAGCCCAGACTTAAGCTGGTTTTATAGTGCTAGCCCTCTGAGATACCACGCCGCAGTTAAGCATGAATACCCCACTCAGACACATTATACTGACTCCAAGCCGACCAGTCCTTGTTGTACCCATTAATGCCGAGCACCAGGCAGGGACCAACAAGTACCATATTTTAACGTCTTTTGGTATGACACGATCGGGGATCGAACCGCGAACCTTCCGCTCTCCGGGCGGACGCTCTAACCACTACACCACGGAGGCGGCAGCAACCTATGATGGTAACAAGTGGCCACAAAATTGATTCTGTGGTCAGGTTGGGTTAATTGGACAATGGCTTGTCATCGCACCCCCAATCTTCAATCTGGTCCCCAACTCAACTATTTACAGGCCACAACAGTAAGAACCCTGCTGAGTGCTGCATTAAACAACAAATTTGTTTTGCATTGGCAGTTCCAGGAATTCTCAAAGGGGGGGATTCAAACCCCAGGAACACACGCACGCACGCACGCACGCACACATTCACACACACACACACACATGCATTCACACACACGCACACAGCTATATGGCGGTGTACTGTAAAAAATTGAGTCTGGATCAGACAATCCAGTGATCAACAGCATGAGCATTGATCTGTATAATATACTGCAACATGTTTTGCCCATACACAGCCCTAATGGAAATTGTATGTAAAGAATGAATGTCCCAGGGTAAGATGATCTAAACTGGAGAACTTATTTCTTATCCCATTTACATTGTGAATAAAATAGGTTTAAATCAATGAATATTTCCTTAAACTAAGAATGAAATCCAAGTCAAAGTGAAATCAGTTACAAGATGCAGTAGTAAATAGAGTTTATCATCATTACAGCAGGGAAGACAACTTCTTTACAGACAATAAGGAGATCTTCCTGTCCAAGCAGCCCTGATGCTCAGACTGGGTTGATTGTTGTCATATGCAGATCACAGGTACATGCTGGCCTCAATGAAGTGGAATACAACTGAGTACAGCAGTTGACAACAAATAAACAAGTATAGAGAAAAATCAACATTATTCAAAACAAAACTATAACAACTCATGCTAAGGTAGTTATCAGATACTGACGCACTGTAAAAATCACAGGCACAGACAGCAATGATATCAGAAGTGTAAGGACTCTTTGCTAAGACAGACACGGACTGAAGTGTAAGGACATTTGGCAGGAAGACATTGTCTGAGTTGAAGGGACTTGTTGGCAGACATTTGGCAGGAAGACATTGTCTGAGTTGAAGGGACTTGTTGGCAGACATTTGGCAGGAAGACATTGTCTGAGTTGAAGGGACTCGTTGGCAGACATTTGGCAGGAAGACATTGTCTGAGTTGAAGGGACTTGTTGGCAGACATTTGGCAGGAAGACATTGTCTGAGTTGAAGGGACTTGTTGGCAGACAGACAGGCAGGAAGACATTGTCTGAGTTGAAGGGACTTCGGCAGACATTTGGCAGACATTTGGCTCAGGAAAGACATTGTCTGAGTTGAAGGGACTCGTTGGCAGACATTTGGCAGGAAGACATTGTCTGAGTTGAAGGGACTCGTTGGCAGACATTTGGCAGGAAGACATTGTCTGAGTTGAAGGGACTTGTTGGCAGACATTTGGCAGGAAGACATTGTCTGAGTTGAAGGGACTTGTTGGCAGACAGACACTGGCAAAAATCATAAGTTCTTGTTGGCAGACAGACATTGACCAATTGCAAGGACTTGTTAAAAGATTGAAATGGAAAAGGTAAATACATACAGTTTTCTTCAGGTTAGGAACAGAATGGTTGAACCATACATTGCACATTGTGTCCAAATATGGACGAGAGAGACAAGGAGGAAAAAAGAAGTATAAATACAAAGATACATGCGAATATGAAACATAACATAAACATGTTAATCCAGTCGTATTCTTAAGATGATGATTTTACAAAAATATATTTTGTTTATCTTTAGCAAAAGTAAGCTCCCCCACCAGGAATATTGTCTCATACATGATCATTTTCTGTAGTATTTTCTAAGGACAACTTCAAATAACTCCGGATAAATAGTTTCATTGCCCACTTGCTTCTGGAGCAAAACCCATAAACTGTTCAATATATCCATGAAACTTTGTATACACACCTACCATGCACTGAACTGGTGTCTTTTGCCTCTTAGGACTGTTTAGAAGTTAAATTGTTTGCGTGTTTCTATTCAACTAGTTAGGCTTAGTTTCAAATGATGTCCGCCATATAGCTGAAATATTGCGGAGTGCTCAACTCACTCAACTCAAATGATGTCTGGACTATTTGAAATTGTATTTTGTTCGTGTACAAAGAAATTGTTGGGCTATTTGCATCATAATTCATAGGAACCATATAGAATTTACTCCATGAAACTTTACATCAATATCAACCATGCATTGTGTGATTGCCATTTTTCGAGGCTATCAAGTGGAACTTAGATACGACTAGGGTTTCATTTTGTGGAGCGTACATCCTCAACCGTTCACTATTTCCTCAAGAAACGCTTTTAGCACCTGTCATAATTCATACAAACCTATCAGAATTCCTGGTTAGAATGGGTGCTCAGCAACCTTTGCTTGTTTTGAGTGATGCAAAACCATATCGGGTGCTTTGGCCACGTGACAGACTTGACTGCGCTCATCAAATACAACCACAGCATCATATGTCAATTCAGGAATTGATTCCGTCTGTCTCCCACACTCCATAAACTGAATTGGATGCCAACTCAAGGCTAGAGTGATTTGGCAAGTCTAGCTTGTCCCAGTCAAAGGGTAGCAGAAATTAAAGATTGTTCTGGGCTCTATTTGGATTTGTTTTGCCAATAAATATATGTTTAATATTTTTAAATAAAATAACTATATATCTGGGACTTAATGTCAGTTTAAATGTTTTGCCAATAAATATATTTTTATATTTTTAAATACGATAACTATATATCTGGGACTTAATGTCAGTTTAAATGTTTTGCCAATAAATATATTTTTATATTTTTAAATACGATAAGTTTATATCTGGGACTTAATGTCAGTCTAAATGGTTTGCCAATAAATATATTTTTATCTTTTTAAATACGATAACTATATATCTGGGACTTAATGTCAGTCTAAATGGTTTGCCAATAAATATATTTTTATCTTTTTAAATAGGATAAGTTTATATCTGGGACTTAATGTCAGTCTGTTACTGATTCTGGCTATATTGTGGCGGTTACATGAGCTATGAGTTATGTAACACTGTTTATCAAAATAAAACCTCAATGAACAGAATAGAGATAAAAGTACAATCTGTCTGTTCATGCATTAAAAGCAGCTGGATGGAGGGAATCATTTGGTTTCATTATCAGTTAGTCAGTTGGACACACACAACCTTCAGATTAACCAGATATAATTAGGTAAATGAATTACTTTTCATTATTTAATGCACATATTTAAACAGGAAGGATATATCAACGCTTCGTCTTGTACTGTGAGTAAGATCCCACAATTACTGTCATATCACCATGGAATTGATACACATGTTAAAATGATGCATGTCATTCTATATTTGGTTAATGTACTTGGATGGTAATGATGCCTCAGATTATAATTTCCAGTGACAGTTTATGCCGTGTTTCTGGCTTGAACTGTCTTCTCAATGTCTTCAATCTTCTGCTGGAGCATGGCCACCCAGTCGTCCTCCTTATTCCAGTCCTGGTACTTTGTGGGTGAGTTGTGCAACTTGACGACAGCGTCCGTCTTCTCATACTGCAGCCCTGCCGCCAACACGGTCTCCTCGAACTTCACGGGGGATGCAGATGCCAGACACACTCTTGGCTTGTCCTCCGAACTGAGGAAAAAAGATTTTTTAATTATTTTTCAGACTAAGAAGGATTATGTTTTTTTCATATCCGAGGACAATTTTCTTCCATCATTATCTTACCCCTGTTTACAGTAGTGGTAGTCTAGTGTTGCACCTGATCTTACCCCTGTTTACTGTAGTGTTAGTCCAGTGTGGCCCCTGATCTTACCCCTGTCTACAGTAGTGGTAGTCCAGTGTGGCCCCTGATCTTACCCCTGTCAACTGTAGTGGTAGTCAAGTGTGGCCCCTGATCTTACCCCTGTCTACAGTAGTGGTAGTCTAGTGTTGCACCTGATCTTACCCCTGTCTACTGTAGTGTTAGTCCAGTGTGGACCCTGATCTTACCCCTGTCTACTGTAGTGGTAGTCAAGTGTGGCCCCTGATCTTACCCCTGTCTACAGTAGTGGTAGTCCAGTGTGGCCCCTGATCTTACCCCTGTCAACTGTAGTGGTAGTCCAGTGTGGCCCCTGATCTTACCCCTGTCTACAGTAGTGGTAGTCTAGTGTTGCACCTGATCTTACCCCTGTCTACTGTAGTGTTAGTCCAGTGTGGACCCTGATCTTACCCCTGTCTACTGTAGTGGTAGTCAAGTGTGGCCCCTGATCTTACCCCTGTCAACTGTAGTGGTAGTCAAGTGTGGCCCCTGATCTTACCCCTGTCTACTGTAGTGGTAGTCTAGTGTGGCCCCTGATCTTACCCCTGTCTACAGTAGTGGTAGTCTAGTGTGGACCCTGATCTTACCCCTGTCTACTGTAGTGGTAGTCTAGTGTGGACCCTGATCCTACCCCTGTCTACAGTAGTGGTAGTCTAGTGTAGCCCCTGATCTTACCCCTGTCTACTGTAGTGGTAGTCTAGTGTGGACCCTGATCTTACCCCTGTCTACTGTAGTGGTAGTCCAGTGTGGCCCCTGATCTTACCCCTGTCTACTGTAGTGGTAGTCAAGTGTGGCCCTGATCTTACCCCTGTCTACTGTAGTGGTAGTCCAGTGTGGCCCCTGATCTTACCCCTGTCTACTGTAGTGGTAGTCTAGTGTGGCCCCTGATCTTACCCCTGTCTACTGTAGTGGTAGTCAAGTGTGGCCCCTGATCTTACCCCTGTCTACTGTAGTGGTAGTCCAGTGTGGCCCCTGATCTTACCCCTGTCTACTGTAGTGGTAGTCTAGTGTGGCCCCTGATCTTACCCCTGTCTACTGTAGTGGTAGTCCAGTGTGGACCCTGATCCTACCCCTGTCTACTGTAGTGGTAGTCCAGTGTAGCCCCTGATCTTACCCCTGTCTACTGTAGTGGTAGTCTAGTGTGGACCCTGATCCTACCCCTGTCTACTGTAGTGGTAGTCCAGTGTGGCCCCTGATCTTACCCCTGTCTACTGTAGTGGTAGTCTAGTGCGGTGGCTGAATGGGGACACACAAGGTAGATGTTCTCCTCCCAGCACTTCATCATAGATCTCTTGATCCCCTCGTCATCTACCACATGGGAGCTGATCACCTCACCAATCTGAAAACAACATCCCAGCTCAATTTCTATGAATGGATTTGCATAATTGTGCCCTTTGTCATGACAGGCTCTTGCAGTGGTATGAAAACCCGGGGTGTAAGTCATGAATTACAAGGAGTAAGCAAGCTGATTGCCCATCCAGGTTCTACAACAGCTCGAATGACTTGTGCCCTCTTCTAAAATGGAGGTGCAACAACTGCTGGTTGCCTTGACAAAATGAAGAACGTACTAAACAAGTCTTGATGATGAAGTTATGACAATTCATGACACGTCCATAGACGTGGAGCAGACCGAGGATCCTGGGATAATGTCGCCATTTCCCAGTTGATCCAGTCAGGGTCCTCTGTCAGACTCAAATTTTTGCCAGCTGCCATTTTGTTTTGAGAATCACGTAACCTTAGTCAGCAATTGGCATGACTGTAAGCAACTGAAAATTAGCACTCTGTTGTGAGGCAAATCACCGTACATCGCAAACAAGCCATTGGCAGTTGCAAAGCAGCCCCTGGTTCACTCTGATAATGATACTTGACCTTAAAGAGGCATTAAGTTATATAGTTAATAAATGACTATTTTCTGAAAAAACCTGAAATGAATTACAAGGGTCAGCCAGGTTCCTATGTTTTTCGGTCAAGGTGAAACTCTGGGTTTATAAATCTAACTATCTCACTCCCAGCTATAACTCTGGTTTCAAACAAGCTGGTAACTAAAATTACACAATGCTAGGATATATTTCTTGGGGTTAAATAATGGTATCCTGTATTATATTTTACTGATGACTGCGTCAGAATTCGTCCCGTTATATTATTGTGCATGTTTGAACTTGTTCGCCGGGAAACGTGTGCACAGCTGATTGCTATTTCCGGCTTTGTGTACGAGACAAATACGCACAGTAATCTTAATCCCTGCAAATAATACAATGCCCAGCATAAACAACTTATAACTTAAAAGGTAAATAATCTTGTCTAGTGATGTTTAATTGCAAATTTGATGTCTCCACTGACAAAGTTGTCTTCTGTTGTTTGTTCACGCGAAGTGAGACGATGTTGTTTTCTTACCCCTGGAAAAAAGTTTGACGAACCCATGGATAAGACGACCCCCTTCTACAGACGGCTTTTTGGTCCTCAAAATTCGGCTTATAGACAGTCATATACGGTACATACCTTAGTTCTGAGATTCTCTGGGACTTTGACCTTCATTGTCTTCTCAAACTCTGCCATCATGTTGCTGACCATCTCAACATCACCATCTGAGAACATGTGCCAGATTCTCTCCATGTTGTATGCCAGCTGTAAGTGGGACAATAGTTAGCTCACCAGATCCAAAACAGACGTCAAATATATTGAGGGAAATTTAGGTTTTCCTATGACTGAAGTTGACAATATTAGCTCACGAGATCAAAAAGAAACTTCAAATAGTAGTTCATCAGATACAAAATGAGTTCAAATAAACTGAGGTTTACTCCAGGTTCTTCCTGTGATAAATATAAATATAAACAATATGCGCTCATTTGTTTATAGGCCAAAAATTAATTTAGCTCTGAACTTAAAAGAAATTGCTCTTAACACCAAAACCCAAACTAAAACAAACCTGTAGTGACTCAAACTCAACCCTGAACATAAGATGCTCGTTATCTAAGTATTATAGAAAAAACATTTCCAGAAAAACTAACTGTAAATGGTATTAATCCTAAGCCTAGGGATTAAGAGCATTCTGTCATCGGAGACATACAATCTCAACTTCAGTTCGTTATTGTATACAGTGAGCATTACTCTGACATTTAAAGAGAGAAAATAAAGAAAAAAAATGTATGATATGTCAACCGTACAGAGATACTTCAAAGACAGCAGCCTGTTTTGTGTTATCACTTTATGATCAATTTGTGATCAACTATGGATTATGTCAAGTTGTAGTTTTCTCACCGATAAAGCATTGTGACCTCATATAGCTTAAACTGAACCATCAGCATTGAGAATGTCACACATTTTCGATATTTTGGCCTATATTATATATATATATTGGGGTACCAACTTTAGCTTCCTCTTGATGCAACAAAAGACTTATTATCCCTTACGACTTGCCTGAAATCGATAATTGAAACTCAGGGGCGTAGCTACCATTATAAAAAAAAGCCCGGACTTACACATGATTATTGCTAAAAGGTTGGGCAAGTCCTCAATACGATCTAAATAAAAAGCTTTGCAACCTATCGGGCTTGCACAAAAAATTGGCTTGCTATGCACCTGAAACTTCAAGGTGAATAGCTTCCAAACAGAGAACACTTGCCAGATATTCAATGTAAACAATTGCTCCGTACATCGAAAACTGTTGCACGTGGTGTTGTCGGTGTTTTCCGAACTGGTTTCAATCACAAGTTGTGTGTAGGATATTATTAATTTTTTTAGAGAAGTGTGGTGCGATATAGTGGCGTTAAAATGCACATGCTAAAATATCGGAAAGTTATAAACATAATAATTCTACCTTCATGGGTAATAGCTATAACTTAATCCAGACTTCAACATTTCATCTGTTGATCTACGTGCTTCACTTACTAAGATATTCAACGAAGGAATATAGAAATAAGAACCTGTATGTCCATGGCAGGAGCTAGAGACTGTTTCACCTCTCTCATAGAGTAGTCTCCCTTTACAATTGTACGATACACTATATCATTTGTGTTGACACAGCAAACCAGCTTCACCGGCAGGCCCATCTTCCTCGCCAAACATCCAGCTAGAAGTGAATAAAACAGTTTTATATTAAACTACCATGAAGTAGCTCACACCTCCATCATTACATCATGAGTGAGTGAGTATGGTTTTACGCCAATGTTACACAAATAGCACCACAAAACGGCTTCACACATTGTACCCAGGTGGGAAACTGAAGCTTGGTCCCACCAACCCCCATTTCATTAGAACATAGGGACAGTTCATAATTTATGGCTGGGGGGGATGATGATTTTAAGGGGGGTCACCCATTTTGTTCGGGGCTGGTAAGGGGCATCAATTTTGTACATGACTTACTTTGTACATAAATTTTAGGGGGGGGATCATTCACATTGTACATGCTTCTCCATAAAAATCATCGCCACCCCCTCAGCCATAAGTTATGAATGGTCCCTGACATGCTTTTTTTGCTGTTTTGACATATCTAGTTCTACAAAGTCTTGTGAGGTTTATGTGGGAAGAAAACCCAAATTAACACAGATCATTAGATGTCAATCACTTAGATAAGGCATCGATACGGAAGCCATTATCATAATCAGGGCAAATCTGGGATTTAAACCCACCATCGGAATACCACTGGGGCTAAAAGGCCCCATGTTTATCCCACCAAAAGTAGATTGAGTAAGCAAGATGTAAATCATATCTAGAGGTACATAAAAAAACATTTTGATAAAAGGATTCAGAAGTGCATTCATGTAAACTAAATAAGAAATAATACGCAAAAAAACAACAGGAAGCTTATTAATAAACCAATCTTATTGAAGTGAGAACTGTCTGAACAAAAGACCTTTGCTGTCAAGAGTTCAAAATTGTTTGAGACAAGTAAAATTCATTGTTGCTCAGACATTTGGAATGCATGTGCAAATCAACACATGAGCCTATTATAACTTACATTGCAGAAAGTAGGGCAGTAGACTAGTCTCATCACGCCAAAGACCCGGGTTCGATTCCCCTCATGGGTACATTGTGTAAAGCCCATTTTTGGTCTCCCACGCTGCAATATTGCTGTAATATTACTAAAAGCATACTCACTCACTATTCATTATAGATAATGTCAGCTGAGTGACGTCGTAGCTGTATCTATTTCATGGCACCAGATACATACTTACACGTCACATTGCCGCAGCCTCCGGTTGGGATGGCTATTTCAACCTCACCGTCACAAGCTGGACGCATCTGCAAGACATACAGTCAAAAATTTGGTGAAATCCTTGTGTTCATTCATTTATTGTATTTGATGCCTGGAAAGGGTCAACTATGATGAGGTCATTTTTGTAACTACAAAATCTATATCAATATAAAATGTCCAGAAAACCATTAGGGAATTCATGACATCTGTTTTCATAACTTTCCTTTTTAAACATTAATAAACAAATTCAAAGATTAAGATGAACCTAAAATATGTTAACAGGCCGGTTTCTTTTGTTTTCATTTGGTGTTTTAATTTGTATGCCATAACTTATACTTTTGATTCCAGAATACCAATTATATAATAGAATATTAACTAACATACATTTACAGCATATGCTCATAAAAAATTCAGTCCAGACCACTTGCCCCATATTTAAACCAAAATATGACGAACAATGGTATCCTGTATCCATTAAATTTTACATGGACTTTAGGACTGACAAAAATATTTTCTGAAAGAATCCTCTGATCCTGTCCCATATACCAACATTTTTAACCAATCAGATTGCAGCACACAATTCTGTTCATTGTTCAGTTACCTGTAGATAGGCGTAGAAGTAGTGAACGACTTGCACCATGATACGAGCAAAGTTGATGGAGTTTATGGAGCAAAGATTGTGCTTCTTCACAAATGCAGCATCAGCAAAACACTCTTTGATTGGAATATCGCCATCATCGCTGGTTCCGTCAACTGTTGTAGAAAAACAGATCAACTGATGCTTGTCTACAGATGTACATGTTTGAAGGTTTGTAAGCTCTGACTCACTAACATTATGACTTGTATTAATCTTAACTTTACAAAAGCCAAATACATTTAGTGAGCAGAGTTCTATGCCACTTTAACTCTTGCAATATCGACCGCCTCCGTGGTGTAGTGGTTAGAGCGTACTTGTTGGTCCCTGCCTGGCGCTCGGCATTAATGGGTACAACAAGGACTGGTCGGCTCGGAGTCAGTATAATGTGTCTGAGTGGGGTATTCATGCTTCACTGCGGTATGGTATCTCAGTGGGCTAGCACTATAAAACCAGCTTAAGTCTGGGCTAGTACAAGCAGCCGCACATACAGATACATGCGCATGCACGTCGTCATATGAGCGAAATATTCTCAAGTACGACGTTAAACCCAATTTCACCTCACCTCACCTCATGTTACAATATCACGGGAGGGAGACGAAGGAAACACCAGACATGGGCTTCACATTATTACATTTGTGTTGTGAATCAAACCGAGTCTTCAACGTGATGAGGTACAATTAAACCATTTTCCACAACCCCACCATTCCCCCCAAAACACTGGAGATTGTCTGGCATACAAAACCTTGACAAAGATCAGTAATATGCAACATAACCTGAAGAGCAGCCAATAATTATTACTAACAGCCTTTGTTTTTGTATCACTTGGCCCTTGCATATAATAGACATGGACCAAAAAATTTGAATTAATATTTTGTGATTGAGAAATATTTCTTTATCACACAATCCTCAATTTTCAGTTTCGCAGATTCGTAAAAGATATACTTTAAAACGTAAAATATAAAGTCATAAAAGATAAACTATTGTTTGCAACAAAGTATACCGTACTTCGATACACGTGAACATTATCTTCAATCACTGTGGTCATCTGGAGTTCCTGAAACCTGGACGTTCGGCCCCGGGGCAACAACACAATGATGTCCACCCATGTCATCCCACGCACAGCCTCTATGGCGGCACTGCCTGTATCTCCTGACGTAGCTGGGAATAGATGAATCAGTTAGGGTTACACCACTGTCAACAGTTGGGTTAATATGAGGATCCTGGGGATAACTGTTGGGATCAATGCCAATTTGAAGAGTTAGGGATAAAGCCACTGAGAGTGAGTGAGTGACTTGAGTTTTACGCCACTTTTAGCAATATTCCAGCAATATCATGGCAGGGGACACCAGAAATGGGCTTCACACATTGTACCCATGTTCGGCAAAACAAGAGAACACTTTAACCACTAGGCTACCCTACCGCCCCAAAAAGCCATTCTGAACTGTTTGGGCTTATGCCACTGAAGTGTATTTAAGTAAGTTCAGTATTTCAAGGCATGCCAGCTTAATGTGGAACTAAAACCTGTCACTCTGTAATGGACACTAAGGGAGACAACTCTGCAAAATGATACCCACTAGCCACTAATCCTTCAAGAGCAATTGGAATTAATGTCACTTTTTAAAGGCACTTAAGACCTTAAGTAAAGAGTGATGAGAGAGAACCCAGTTTAAACGATGGGCAGTTGTTGGACCTGGTTTCATTGATATTTCAGAAGAGTCTCACATGGTGTAACCAACACTAACACCAAGCTGGTGAAAAGTTTTGCCTTCCCTATTTCCAGTATGTTGTGAAGATGGCATAAATTTTCACACACTCACCACTCATGCACTCTCACCACACACACACGCCTCTCCCTCTCTCTCACACACACACACACACCATTCATCTCTGTGTCAGAAGGTCACATGTTCTTACCTGTCAAGACGGTGAGATGTTTCTTCCTCTTGTTCAGAAAGTAGTCAAAGAATTGTCCGAGACAGGACAATGCCAGATCTTTGAAAGCGAAAGTGGCACCATGGCACATCTCCATGACATTCAGCCCACCGGGAAACTTCTTTATTGGAATGATGTCAGGATGGGAGAACCTGCTGAAGGCTTTGTCCACCAGTTCTGAAATAAAGCCCTGATGTTGGGGTTCCTACTGTCACTAAGAGAATAGTTTGGTACATGGAACACAGCCACAGTCTTACAGCAACTGAATTACAGTCCGTTTGGCTCAAAAGCGGACCGATGAATTGCAATTTAACTCGAAAAGGGACAGTCGAACACCTGGCTGTCCCTTTCTCTGCACTCCTCCCTCGTAACAAATAGTGAACTGTGTCAATATTTTAATGATAGATTGTAAACAACTTTTTTATTTTTCGGACAAAAATTCTGCAAAAACCTCACAGAGTTGATATGATGTTTTGATTATGATCAGCATTTCATTGAGTATTTTATGTTTATTAGTTTTCGAGTTAGATTGCAATTCATCGGTCCGCTTTTGATCCAAACGGACTATAAGTTTGAAGTTCCCTTCTAAACACCATGCTGCTCCAAAACTACTGAATGGCCATTACTGAAATGCCTGTGACAGTGTTACAATAATTTGTAGACAGACAAATACTTAAAATCTATGAAAGACATTTAAAAGTGATACATATAAGTGGGGAAGGGGGGAGTTTCTAAATGTCAATTTCAAGGTCAGAAGTGGAAATTCAAAAAAATTTAAAATATGAAACAAAATATCAGGTAGATCAATGTCTAAGGGGACTTTCCGCCTGGCATACATCACTTCCAAACATTACAAACTTTCTGCTACAGTTTAGGGATAAACATCATCTTAAAATCAGGTGATAAAAGAGTTGTGAGCTCTGTTTACTGACCACTGAGGTCTTCCAATGGAATCTCCTCCCCAACAAAGTATGGAATGATTTTCTTCACCAATTGGACATAGGACAAGCCTGCCCATGACTTGAGGGTATCTGTCGAAATCTGGGGGACGGACTCTGGGAGGAGTATTCCTCCATCGGCTGCATAGCCTGAATACAAGGCTTCTTCAAACGTCAATCCACGTGCACCACCTCTTGTACTAGCAAACTTCATATTGGGATCTTAGTGAGTATAGATATCTCAGTTTGTTGTTAACTTGGAAGGTCCTTACTTGCTGTACATGAATGTCTGCAGAGAATCTATCTGGAAAAATAGAATGCAAGCATTACATACAGGAGAAAAACATATTTAGTATTTATTACATTGACTTTTAATGTCAATGTCTCTCTGTGTTCTGGGACACTGATGGTCTCATCGAAGTGGAATGGTTATTGTCTCCCTGTGTTCTGGAACACTGATGGTCTCATTGAGGTGAATGGTTATTGTCTCTCTGTGTTCTGGAACACTGATGGTCTCATCGAGGTGAAATGGTTATTGTCTCTCTGTGTTCTGGAACACTGATTGTCTCAATGAGGTGGAATATCTGACAAAGGAATGACAATAAACATGATAAACAGAGCTTGTTATGCAGGACTACAGGACTACAGAGACGTGGGAACCTGAGAATAGGTGCTCTTCCATCAGGACAATAAATTGTGCACTAATCAGTCACGGACTCATTGTAATGAACTTTAAACTCCTTCAACCCTGAACTTATTGTCTTGGTCTGGCTGTGTAAGACTTCCATCTGTTCCCAAACATGAAAAGACGCCAATCCAAACCTGCCCATGACTTGTCATAGCAGCTTTGATTCCCCATATGGGTGCAATGTGTGAAGCCCATTTCTAAAAGCGGCGTAAAACCATACTCACTCACTCACTCATAGCAGCTATGGAGAACTTTGTGGAGAACTTTTAGGAACAAGACTTTTCGAGGACTTCTGACAAAATTGCATTAATATGGAGGGAGATTATTTTGAAATAAATCTTTTCATTGTGTTTGCATCAACTTTTTCTCTGTGAGGCTCAGTTCCTATAAGTCTCCCTTGCTAATGCCTAAAGTGGCAGAGATTACATCCCCTACCATGTAACACACAAGCCTGTTGAACATGGTGAGTTAGTCCCGTTTGAAGTGGACAATAGAAATGAGCTTCAAACATTGTACATTTGAAATTAAATCCGCGTCTTGATGACCTTTTACCCAGATAGCAACTCAATGAAAAAGTGCAAGATGACAATGGACACAGAGTCGGGAACCATTTTAAGGCAAATATTAAAGAAAGAAGACGACAGTTTTTTATAAAAGTATTTATCTTGAAGACGAGGCTTATACTACTGTGAGCATTCAGTAGGACATTGAGCTATCAGGCTATTATTTTCACTGAATGATATAATGATACAAATATACATGTTTTATTTTCTCTCTGAAAAGTGAAAGCTACAAAACATTTCATCACAATCCCTGATTATTGAATTTTGACAACTTGCCAAATACATTTTTCCAGATAAAGACTGATTAAAATTGAAAATTTTCAGGGAAATAGTATCTGTAAATACAAAAAATATTTTGATCTTTAATAAAAAATATTTTTGATCTTTGATTAATCTTTATCTGTCTAAGTAGAGACCACAGAAACTAAACACACTTTACTTTCTTGCATCATCACCACACAGAAACCCTGTGGCAGTATGATTAGTTATGAAATAACATATGATATAAGTATGATTAGTTGTTCAAAAGCTGGGATACACTTTTCATTCAACTGTCAATTAATGTCAAGTATCCTATTTTTAAAAAGATATTGTTTGCAGACTTGAATATATGAATACATTTCTAAGTTTTAATCAGTTTCAACATAAAATAAACTAAGTTCACGGAATCTATTGATTGCAGCTGTATGCTTCGACAAGCAGGCAATGCTTCACTAATTCGTTTGAATCAAAATATTCTTTCCCACTTAAAAAATTGTCTTTCATACAACTACTCTGAATTATCGTATAACTATGTGATAATAAAAAATCATAGGGACATAAAATGTGTTACCATTGTGCTATATTATCAGGTAAATAGTGAATAACTAATGTATTTAGCAGTGTATTTCTGGTGTCATCCACCATGATATTGCTGGAATATTGCTAAAACCATACTCGACCTGTGAAGATCTGGGTTAGAATTGATCTTCAGTAACCCATGCTTGTTGTAAGAGGCGACAAGACTAACTGGATCAGGTGGTCAGGATCGCTGACCTGGTTGACACATGTTATTGCATCCCAGTTGCGTAGATCGATGCTCATGCTGTTGATCACTGGATTGTCTGGTCCAAACTTGATTATTTACAGACCATATTGCTGGAATATTGCAGAGTGTGGTGTAAAACTAACCTCACTCACTCACTCACTAAAACAATACTCAGCCACTCACTCATCACAATGTTTATATACAACTTCTTCTTTTTTTAATTTTTATTTTGCTCCCCTTATTAGGGCCAGGGGTCAGCAATTTTGTATGTAAAAATATTAAAGATAATGCTTAAAATAATTGGGAAGTGGGGGACGGGGTAATTGATTTTGTACATGTATGACATGTAGGGGGTCATTCACAATGTAACATCGTACATGCCTCTCCATAACAATCATCATCACACTCAATAGCCATAAGTTAAGACAGAGGTCTGGACCAGACTGCAGTGATCAACAGCATGAGCATCTGGGTTATGATGACGTTTGTCAACCAAGTCTGCGAGTTTGACCACCCGATCCCGTTAGTCGCCTCTTATGACACGCGGTCTCCAGGGGTCGTATCAAAACGACGGGTTTTTTTTATACACCATCCAAACATATTTTGGATTTGACAAAACATATATTGACAGTGGTAACACTGCTTTCATTCATGACTTCAGATGCTATAAAACTTAATGTTCTTACCGTTGCGATGAGTATTACATGCATTAACGCCCCTTCGGTTCGGTTCACCGTGAGTACACTCGTGATGTAATACAGGTCTTCCAGTTTGACACGGACCAAAACGGCGAGGAACAAAAAGGCAAATAAACTGGACATCAAAACGGCCCAACATTTTTTTTTTTAGTACAATACTAGATCTATATGAAGATTTAACTGACTTGATTTTTTAATTACAACTTTTCTCTTTGCTGCAGCGGGCATGGGCAGTTATGTCCTCTTATAATACCTGGTGACAAAAGCATGCAGTTTAACTACGGGTGTTAGCTTGGCCAGTCAGCCTACTGCATTCTTGGCTTGGGGCAGTTAGCGAGTGACAGCAAAGTACAGATGTACTGTGTTATACCTGACTTGTCTAGATGAAACTAATAACTATTCATAAGAAATATATGTAAAATACTTGGATTGAAATTAAAAGAAATACATACAAAACAAATTACATGGGTCACATTGTAATCTGGTGTTTCGACAACTAAGTTTATCGACTGGTGAAATTAATATATCCATCAAAACTGGTCACACGCTTGGAACATGCTTGATGTTTGGAATAACAATTTTTATGATACATTTCTGTCACGAATTAAACAGCATTACCCAAAGGACTGTTTGTTTTGGTTGCTGCACTCAGCAATATTCCAGCTATATGACGACAGCCTGTAAAAAGATCGAGTTTGGACCAGAAAATCCACTGATCAGCAACATGAGCATCTGTCTTCGCAATTATTATTCCACTACAAGAAAAGTGACTGAAGCACTACACATAAAAAGACACCGCCCAAAACATAACTGGGACCAGGGCTCGATTTCATCCCATCAGCTTACCACACTACACCTAATCCCAAACTAATCAACTCAATCTCCCTCTCTCTTCACTTCTAATCTCGCCTATTAGTTGTCCCCGCCCCCACTGGTATCCAATTCATCATTCTGTTATCTTACCTCGAATTATCTCATGTATGGTCATGCTTGTTTTCATTCATCTTGTTTTATCATCCATTGATTTTGTTAGCTCTCATGTAACCTATATTTATCATCCAAAACTGTGTTCCACAGGAGATATCGCTTGTGTGAGATCAAACGATATCTCCTAGGAGATATCGTTTTGACAGTAGATTTTGTACAATACCCTGACAATGCTATGACTTCATGAGCATGATGACCTCACAATGCTATGACATCACTGTACTGCAAGTCTAATGACAGAACGGTGGTCAGAGATGTACTTTTTTTCAATGAAAACTAATGAGTGATTTTTGATGATAAATAGAATCTCACCCTCGTGTCTTCTGATATCAAATATATCAACCACTCGTTGATAAAGTAAAAATATCCTCGGATATTTGTAACTTTATCAACTCGTGGTGATATATTTGATATCAAAAGACACTCGGGTGAGATTCTCTCTATATATCCTGCTGTACTGATTCACCACGTCATGCTTGAAAACGGTATAAGCATCTATACCGAAACGATCGCCTCCGTGGTGTAGTGGTTCGAGCGTCCGCCCGGAGAGCGGAAGGTCGCGGGTTCGATCCCCGACCGCGTCATACCAAAAGACGTTAAAATATGGTACTTGTTGGTCCCTGCCTGGCGCTCGGCATTAATGGGTACAACAAGGACTGGTCGGCTCGGAGTCAGTATAATGTGTCTGAGTGGGGTATTCATGCTTCACTGCGGTATGGTATCTCAGTGGGCTAGCACTATAAAACCAGCTTCAGTCTGGGCTAGTACAAGCAGCCACACATACACATACACGCGCATGCACGTCGTCATATGAGCGAAATATTCTCAAGCACGACGTTAAACCCAATTTCACCTCACCTCTATACCGAAACGCCGCTATTGTACAGTAAAGAAGTTGATCATCCATAAAGGCTTGTCATTCCAATTTGGATACGGTGACATATGTCAACCATATCAGCACCGACCACCCGATCCCATTTCCCGCCTCTTTCGACAAGAAGGGTTGCTGAAGACCAATTCTAACCAGGAACTGCGTTCATTTTCAGTGCGCCTCCGTGGTGTAGTGGTTAGAGCGTCCGCCCGGAGAGCGGAAGGTCGCGGGTTCGATCCCCGACCGCGTCATACCAAAAAGACGTTAAAATATGGTACTTGTTGGTCCCTGCCAGGCGCTCGGCATTAATGGGTACAACAAAAGGACTGGTCGGCTCAGAGTCAGTATAATGTGTCTGAATGGGGTATTCATGCTTCACTGCGGTATGGTATCTCAGTGGGCTAGCACTATAAAACCAGCTTCAGTCTGGGCTAGTACAAGCAGCCACACATACACATACACGCGCATGCACGTCGTCATATGAGCGAAATATTCTCAAGCACGACGTTAAACCCAATTTCACCTCACCTCTATACCGAAACGCCGCTATTGTACGAGTAAAGAAGTTGATCATCCATAAAGGCTTGTCATTCCAATTTGGATACGGTGACATATGTCAACCATATCAGCACCGACCACCCGATCCCATTTCCCGCCTCTTTCGACAAGAAGGGTTGCTGAAGACCAATTCTAACCAGGAACTGCGTTCATTTTCAGTGATCGAGAAAATGAACCTGCGCCTTTTTGCTGGTTGTCAGGTAGTTTAGAGGTTCGCTTGTCACGCCGAAGACCCATGTTCGATTCCCCATATGGGCACTAGTGTGTTTCAGCCCATTTCTGGTGTCACCCGTGGTGATACTGCTGGAATATTGCTAAAAGCGGCGTAAAACTAAAACTCACCCAATCAAATATAGGCCTATTAATTTTGTAACTCTCCCGTCAATCCGAAATTGAAATTCATCTTGTCTTACACGTGCAAAATGACATACATAAATCATGCACTAGTTTCTTACCGCATGTTACACTAGACACATCCTTGTAAGTCGGGCACATAGAGGGAGACAAGGACAGTCTGGCGCTATCCGACCCCAGACATTTCACTGGGGTAAAATAAAATCCTGCAATTTGCGTGATGGGTGTCCGCATAAATGTCAACAGCACAATTTACATAACATTTCAAAGGTTAGCCACGACGTCTGCATGAGATCGCTAAAATCACGGGAACAGATTCTGGGGTTAGCGAGCCCTGGAGATATCCTCGTATAAAAATGGGGTGTCGGACTCTGAAGAGTGAGTGAGTTTAGATTTATAGACACATCGGCAATATTTCAGTCTGATAGCTGAAGAAACACTACTTGTTATCTTTCAAATCACGTGAACTATTAAACATCTCAATTACTTGTGAAATATAGACTTAATTCGTCTATACACGCTACCATTAATTCGTGACCGCCTCCGTGGTGTAGTGGTTAGAGCGTCCGCTCGCAGAGCGGAAGGTCGCGGGTTCGATCCCTGACCGCGTCATACCAAAAGACGTTAAAATATGGTACTTGTTGGTCCCTGCCAGGCGCTCGGCATTAATGGGTACAACAAGGACTGGTCGGCTCGGAGTCAGTATAATGTGTCTGAGTGGGGTATTCATGCTTCACTGCGGCATGGTATCTCAGTGGGCTAGCACTATAAAACCAGCTTACGTCTGGGCTAGTACAAGCAGCCGCACACACACATAGACCATTCTTAGCCAATATGCATGACCTCGAGGTCAAATCGAAAGCGAGGCTTAAATAGGTTGACCCAACCTTGAAAATGGCGACCTCGAAAAGGAAAGATTACTGCTGTGTGCCTTTGCGTTGGAGTGATGCCCGTAAGGATTTTACAGTATCTTTTCACCATATTCCCAAGAATAAGATCATAAGAAGGCAGTGGTTGACGAAAATACGGAGAGATCCTGGAAAATGATTCATAGTAAGTACAAAATAATTACGGCACATGGCATAGTCTAGATGCCGCCGTGAAATGTACAAACTCTTCACTATGCAAGGTTTTAATATTTAGGACACATGTACAATGTGAATGTCACACACACAGACACATTCAAACCCCCCCCACACACACACACACACACACACATTGTCATGTTCAAAATCAGTGACCACCCCCCTAGTTCATATGTACACAATTGACCCCCCCCTGCCTCCCAAAACAAACTGGGAGACACCCCAACCCCCACAAACACCGCACCTAAAATCATCATCACACCCCTAGTCATAAATTATGAACGGTCCATTATATTATTTGTTTTAAAGCATATGGACATATGGAGACACTCTTGTCATGATGGCAAGGGAATTTTATTTGCAAATATTCTGTATCAGTGAAATTTGATTGGCTGCAAATCAAAGTAACATTTCAAGTACATGTATATGCAGGACACACACATGCTGTTAAAAAAAATCTTAAATATGTACTTTCAAAATTACTGCATGCTGACCAGTACTTCAGGGATACAGGACATATTACTGGACAATCTAATTACAACAACTGACACATATTTAGTGTTTAAATATCCATTTCAGATGCTGCTAATTAAGAGTCAGAGAGCATGTCACCAGCTCAGGAACCTCCCATAAGCAATCTACCACAGTCACCATCTCAGATACAGTAAGAATGTCAGATCGTATTAAGTTAATTTTGCCAACTGACATGGTTTTAAAGAATTTAATACAACTGAACTTTATTATGCTATGTTATTTACATATAAAAATATTGATTGCCCATACTGTCTAAAATATGAAATGATGTTAGCCTCTACTCCTTGATGTATATTTGTAATTTCAGAGATGCTATGTTATTTACATATAAAAATATTGATTGCCCATACTGTCTAAAATATGAAATGATGTTAGCCTCTACTCCTTGATGTATATTTGTAATTCCAGAGATATATTTATTGTTTGTGTGTGTGATCGAAGAGATAATAGTGATGCTTTACAATGCTTATATTACAGTGAAGCAGAGAGTGATACAGCAGCCACTGACCCCAGTCCTACATAGAACAACTCCATCAAAAATTACATGAACAGGAGAGGCAACTCAAGGAAAAGGTTGACAAAATAGAAACATTGAACAGAAAACTTGAACTTGAAAAGTTTGGACTTTGTAAATTCATGTATGATGATAAAAAATGATTGAACAATTTACAGTATTCCATCATTTCAAACATTGGCACTGATTAGCTGGAACTTTTTCATTTGTTGAATATCTTCCCAGGTTTTGTGAAGTACCTTGCCCAAACAGCACAAGAATTGACAGACATGAATGTAAATGAAATTGTTTCATGCTTTTGTGTTGTGTAAATGATGGATGAAAAAAGAGACAGCTGTAATACATACACATTGATGGATTTAACTGAATAATAGAAAGGTATTTCATAATGGCATAGTTGTAGATGTAACTCATTTGCTGCTGTTTAATTAATAATTGATGAAAAAGAATGTATTTCATCCTGTTTGAAAAGTTAGTTAGTTGGGAACCAGAAAAACCAGGTAAGAGATTATGATAATGTGTAAGGGGAGAAAACTATGATAAATTATGAATTGATCCAGCTGTAATTGTTGCCATTCATGTCAGACTAATCTAAAAAGATATTTCTATCAACATAAATATTGCACCCAATATATTTTCAATTTGCATCCTCTGAAAATTTTATTGTTATTCATCAGTGTTACAGTTGGAAGCTATTGTGAATGTGTCTATTGTTATTGGACTTTTAAGACACCATTTCAAAATAAAATTTTATTAACTGCACTCCAGGTGTTCGTTATTTATTTAGGTTAATTGTTTGCTGTAGTGTGAATCCTGTTATGCTAACCTGATAATATGTTCTCCTTAAAAAAGGTCTTCAGTTACAGTGGTACAGAATAAATGCACAAGGTCTACAATAAATCAATGTTATGGTATAGTAACACAGTATTGAAAAGTGTTTCAAATATTCCCCATGCAGGTACCATAAGTCCATTTAGGTAAAATACCTCCAAATCAGTCACGAAAGAAAAAAAAATCATCCAGTTTTGTCTTGCACATTGTGTCCCACTCATGCTGATTGAATGAAATAGTTTCTACATGATGATGTGGCGATTCGTTTTTCCTCTGCGATTGTAACATGCAGCTACGCGCACATCGCCATCACCAGTAGTCCTGTACAACTGAAAATAAATGCGTGAATAGATACCCTATATCTATAAAACAGAGTCGATAGGACAAAACATTTCAACAGAAAAAATACCAAACAAATAATTTCATCACATGAATAATACAATTTTGTTTGGTCCAGATCCACTCGAGGAGAGCTATCTTGATCTACATATTACTTATAATCTCGATTATCCAGCTCAAGAATTAACAACACTACTCCCATGTGGAAGCGGATGATTTGAATCCAGGTCAGGAAATACGTTTAGTCTTTTGCTTTGTTCATATGTTGATAAAGTAAACGTGATTGACTTCCCTTGGTAATATTTCCACTATTGTGACTTTAGAGTAGCTTCCCTTCATAAATGCTGCGCAACATGGTAAACGTAACCTAGATATCTAGGTCATATATGACTTATCGTGATGTGTCGTGAAGTACAGTAATTATTCACCCTTCAATCCGTGAATATGCTACAGAAACATTTGTGTAGCCCTTTCCCATTTCTCTGCGATTTCCCTGAACTACATGACAGTTTCGTAATGTACCGTTCAAGGGAAATTTGAAACCAGGAAGTAAACATTGAGATTGGTCGCCATTATGCGATTGTGTCCTTGCCCAATTTAGCCTCGTTTTGGTACAGATATGAATATTCATGAGGCCTCTGCACTACCCAGCTTAGCCACATGACAAAATGGTAGTAAGTATGGAAGTCAAAACGGACAAAGAAACGCTCAGCATGGACTCGCTGAGTAATTATCATTATTATCGCAGATTTCAATGGCTGCCAGATTAGCATTGATTTATCAGTTTTGAAAAGGAAATAGTGCATGACAGACTTCGACTCGTGTTATATCATCATTGTGTGTCATACATTCGCTCATTAATGACCATCGACAGGGGGACGATTCTTCTTGGAGGTTACGGAAAAGGGCGAGTGGTTACGAATGATGTCAGATCGATGCTCATGTTGTTGATCAGTGGATTGTCTGGTCCAGACTCGATTATTTACAGACCGCCGCCATATAGCTGGAATATTGCCGCGTAAAACTAAACCCACTCACTAACTCCGCCTCTACGATTAATTTTAAAGTATGGCTTACTGAAGACCGGTTTTAACCAGGCAGGATCTTCATGGGTAGTGATTAGCTGGAGAACATGGCGTTACAATTGGACGTTCAGAACGTTGTCGGCCCATGGTGATGCCATTCTTTCTGCTACCGACTTCAGATTGACACAATGATGTTATACTGAACATCAAAACATTTGTGCTTCCGCTCATTTCCAAATGTGCGCACAGTTGAACCATTTCGAGGTTTGGACGTCAACAAAGTTACTGAAGTTCGGCGGTTCGATCCTTGGCCGCGTCAACCTGAAAAACGTGAAACTACGGTACTTGTTCTTACCTTGTCTTGGTTTCATCTTGTGCATGAAGGATTTGGTTTGTTGTTTTACGCCGCACTCAGCAATATTCCAGCTTTAAGGCGGCGGTCTGTAAACAATCGAGTCTGAACCAGACCATCAAGTGATCAACAGCATGAGTAAATCTACGCACACTGGGATACGGTGACATGTGTCAACCAAGTCAGCGAGCCTGACCACCCGATCCGGTTAGTCGCCTCTTACCATAAGGGGATAATACGAGAGGAGTATCCATATGAACGCTGAGAGTGGTGTATCTGGGCTGGCACTATAAAACCGGCATAAGTCCTCACACATATACTATATACGTAATGACGAGGTAGGTTGCAAATAGTGAAAACTTGTTTATGAAACCATACAAGCATGAACGCTATCTATAACTATATGTAAAATATGAATGATTAAAAATTATAGCTATTAATTATTAAAGGCTACCATAATTTTCAACATCTTTTCCTGACCTCTCCTTATTTTGTGTTAAAAACGTGAAATGCAGCATGGTAAAGGTGAAATAAAAAGGCGCAAATACATTCCTATTCGTTTGAGGCCTATCTCACATTCCTCTGTCAGTTAATACCGTCGAAAATATGGCGGCTTCCCTGAACTCGCGGGAAGACGAAGAGTCTATCGAATCAACGGTAAACGAATGGCTGCTAGATTTCGCTTGTTACACGGCATGGAAAGAATTTAGGGAAAAGGGAGCCGTGGATGCATTTGCTACTCGAGATTTAATTCAAGGTAACTTAGTTAATGAATTATTCCCCAATATGTGTGTGGTTGTCCAGTTTTCGGTAGTCGAGGCTCTACTTCCTTGTTGTCTGTGCTCTCTAAATATTTTAAGTGTGTGCATAGGTAGGTTATTGATATTTCACTCTGACAATAATGTTTCGGTATGATTTTATTTCGGCTAGAATGCACTTTACCGGGCGCAGCCCTCGCTGCTTCCTTTACGATCCTTAGGGTTAGGGTTAGGGTTTAGGGTTAGGCACCCTTTACGATCCTTAGGGTTAGGGTTTAGGGTTAGGCACCCTTTACTATCCTTGGGGTTAGGCACCCTTTACGATCCTTAGGGTTAGGTACCCTTTACGATCCTTAGGGTTAGGGTTAGGGAACCCCAGCAGCGCTAATTAATCTGAAAAAGTGCGCCCGGTAAAGTGCAGTACTCCCTTTATTTCTTTTGTAGATTCAGGTGTCAGACTGAAAGACTTTTTGCCTTGTTTTATTTACACTGATTTTGAAAATTACTTTTCCCTACGTCTACCAGATTTGGAAAGTCTTCCGCCTGTATCCCCCCTTAAATTTTATTCTAGTCAAATCATATCACCTGAATATATATTCCTCATCTGATAAGGATGAGTTTGAACGTGTTTTGTTTATTGCATCTGAACATACTGAAAGACACATTCTACTTCTAAAAATGTCACTCAAAGAAAGTTTTCCTCATCGTTAAAATTAAGGGGAGGAGGGGGGAATACGGACGGAAGTCTTACCCCAGATTTACACCAATATGGCAGCAATAAGTGCCTTGATATAATTTTTGGTTAGGGTGAAGATGGCTTGTGACAAAAGCAGACTGACAGGTGTAAAAGTGAAAGAAGAGAGCTGATGATTTGACGAATAATACACGTCCACATCAGCTTCCACCAAACTGGCCAAAGTTAGCATGGTTAGGCTGTCAAATTCCAGATCAGTCTGAGTTTATATATTTCGAGAATCTTAGTGCCCGGTTTAAGTATATTTTTTCTTGTATGAATTAATATTATTTAATCAATATTAATCATTACGATGTGCTCTTTTAATATTTTTATTGTGGTTTGGTTTTTATGTAATTTGTATAGCTATTTCTGTTTAAAGTGTGTATATTCAGTGTATGAAATAAGCCAAAAACCCAGCCAGACATCTGGGCTGGTAACTTCAAAAACTTACCAGCCCAGAAGAGATTTAACCAGTCAGTGCCAGTGGGCTTGTTATCGGAATATGTTTTTTCACCCGTTCATCGGGCTGGCTAGTTGTAAAATTAGACCGTCCAGCAAAAATCTAGCCCGTCTCGGGCGGTTGGATGGGCCTTATTTCATACACTGGTATATTCCATGAGTTTGGTGGATATCTGCAGGATCTGTCTCTAATTAGGAGGAGAGTGTTCGACAATATGATTGACTACTAACATCTAAGGCATTTATATTGTAATCTCAGATTTGTCAGCCCCTCGATAAATAATCAAGTACAGTTGAATACAATACGTCTTTTGTAACTCATCTTTCAGTAAATGCACAGACTTTCTCTTCAATTTACCTGTGTTTCAATATAAAGACATGACTAGGGCGAGTTATTTTGCCCTGTGATTAGTTTTTACTGTGCGGAGCTCTCTTGCTTTGGTAAGAGTATTGATTCATTTATGAATTAAGGTGGAACAACATACTTTATAATTAGTTTCATGAATAATTAAAAATTACCAAGACCAGTCAAGTACTGTCCCTTTTAAATAAGTACTTAAAAAAATATATTTAAAGACAACATTTTTTTTCCAATTTGCCCATCAAGGGAACTTAACAATCAAGAGGACTTAAAATTAGAAAGCTGTGAAGATCCGGGTTAGAACTGGTCCTCACCAACCCATGCTTGTTGTAAGAGTTGTCCAGCATATCACAGTTGTGTAGTTCGTGCTCATGCTCATCACTATAGTCTGTTTGCAGTGAAAACGTACCGATGAATTTCACTTTAAACAAAAAAGTAAATCAAATAAAGTGAAATTTAGATTGCGAATCCTCATGATTTTACCTTGCCAATTGAACATTTAAATCTCAAAATTTTAGTCAAATTAGGATAAAAGTTGTTTAACAATGATCATAGATTCAAATCGTTTTTATTGGTTTGTATTACAAGGGGGTAAGCGCAGCAGTAGGAACAGTGAAACAAATGCATGTGCGGTACGTGAAGAGCGTTAACTTATAACAGCCCTTGTCATTTTCGGTGTTTCAATTGATGTGCATACCACCTTGTAATACAAACCAATAATAGCCGTGTGAAACTATGATCGTTTGTTAAACAACTTTTATCCTAAGTCGAATGAAATTCTGAGATTTAAATTGGCAAGGTGGTGGTGGTGGTGGAATTGGGTTTAACATCGTGCTTGAGAATATTTCGCTCATATGACGACGTGCATGCGTGTGTTTGTGTATGTGCGGCAGCTTGTACTAGCCCAGGCTGAAGCTGGTTTTATAGTGCTAGCCCACTGAGATACCATACCGCAGTGAAGCATGAATACCCCACTCAGACACATTATACTGACTCCGAGCCGAACAGTCCTTGTTGTACCCATTAATGCCGAGCTCCAGGCAGGGACCAACAAGTACCATATTTTAACGTCTTTTGGTATGACGCGGAGGTGGTCCAATTGGCAAGGTAAAATCATGAGGATTCGCAGTCTTAATTTCACCTTATTTGTTTTACTATGTAGTTTAAAGTGACATTCATCGTACGTTTTCACTGCAAACAGACTATAGTTTGTCTGCTCCAGACTTCATTATTTACAGACTGCCTCCATATCACTGGAAAATTGAGTTAAACAACAAACTTAAAACAAGGTAAAACCTTGTGCTAGTGATAATCGGCAACATAACAAGATGACCAGACGAGCAACTACTAGTCCCATAATGATGTTGATTATTATTAGTATCAGATCCTGTGCTCAAAAGTGCCTAAATTTCTGCTCAATGCATCATTTTCAGATTTCAGTGCTTTTTGTGGACAATGATTAACTGACTTTAACACCAAAGTCTTTAGTTGTCCCTGGATTCATACCAGCTGCTAAAGTTGCATGTGACAGACTATACCCTGTCTAACCCGTTTCCATCGCCAGGAGTACTGTGTCGTCCACTCAAGAACTCCTCCGTGAAGAAGAGCAGAGTCCAGCTGCTGCTGATTCTGTGCAAGTTGTCCGATGGCGAGGACTACGATGCCCGGTACACCAGCACCTCCAATCTCACCGTCTTGGAGGAGGTGCTGGCATCGTTTGACTCCATCATCAAGGGCTACGACACGTCCTCTAACGTCAGGATGCAGTCTGCCAAACACAGAGTTGCCATCATGACGCAGGTAAAGACATTTAGCTCACCTGGACTAGCGCTGGAGCGACTGAATAATCTGTAAATCTCACTTGTGTCAGCAATTATCAGTGAGCTCGGGAGTCTAATCGATATTCATAAAAAATGAAACATCAACTTAAACTTTAAAAAGTATGTTATTGTTATGTTTGTTAGATCAAGACATAAGCAACTAATGCACATTCCTGACATTTCCAGCAATGTAAACAACATACTCACGTCCATGTCTCAACAGGATGTATCCTCAATTGTCTTCATCGTAGTATGAATTGGCGCCTGTTTTGTTTGCACACAGTTGTGATTGTGTCCTGTTATTCCCCACAAGAGTTTTGTCGTGGGGTTTACGATTACAGTCGATTGTTAATTCATTACTGAGCGACGATTACAGATCACTCACTCACTCACTCACTCACTCACTCACTCACTCACTCTCACTCACTCACTCACTCACTCACTCACTCACTCACTCACTCACTCACTCACTCACTCACTCACTCACTCTTCATGTTGTAGGCTGTCTATGTTTGCTGTCGTGCTGGAGATTTCGATCTGGCCAAGGAAGTGTTTGACAGACAGTGGTCAGATCCAGAAGAGACTGAAAAGGTAATTGCATGTTTATTCTGGAGGAAATGTCTTGAAAATCTGGAGAACTTCAGACTGAATTGTTATCCCCTACATTTTATGACCAATGTCTGAAATATAGAAATTCTCCATGGGATCCCTATGTTAAAATACTGTGTGAGGCCCAAACAATTTTATTTCTTGTTTTACGGATTTTTGTCCTCAGAAAAACTAGTGTGTGTGTGTGTGTGTCTGTCTGTCTGTCTGTCTGTGTCCCGAAACAAATTACAATTAAATCCACACCAGTTGACATGTTAACTCTTTTGGTTTGGTTATATGAACTAAAAATAACTTGAGTGACTTTACATTTCACTATCATTTCAAGAGTATTATTTCACTTATATCATAGCCTATCACATTAACTATAGCATTTTATTTTTTGAGTGGGGAAAATTAATTTTATTTTTCTTATTCTTGAAAAAATATGACCAGTGGATTCATAAAACAAGAAATAAAATTGGTCTGGCCTGAACAGGGATTTGTCAAGACCTGCCCAGTGGTAATGTAATGTTTGGCCCAGCTCTGAAGCAGTTGTCTGTAGAAAATATCTGAGGTTGGAATAATGAAAATCACCAAGTTATGTTATTATAGTATGAACTTTAGCTATGGCTTTTGCATAGATGGCTTATATATGAGTCCTCAATGTATTGAAAACTTCAAATTCTGGAACAAAATTATGTTGTGTCAAGGGCACTGTATTTGGAATGCTAGATTAATCACTGAGCAGGAGACCTCATTGACACTTGCTCCCATGACAAGAAGGATTATTCAAGCAATTTTTGAAGGACTTTCTATTTTTGAGGTTCAAGGCATGATTAATGCTGTCCTTGATGGGCAAACTAAAAGGCTTTACTCATTTTTACAATTGTGTCGATTTCTTATGGTTGCACATGGTCAGAAAACGCATGGACATTTCTTATGGTTGCACATGGTCAGAAACCCTATGGACATTTCTTATGGTTGCACATGGTCAAAAACAGCGTGTGGATTTCTTATGGTTGCACATGGTCAGAAAACGTGTAGATTTCTTATGGTTGCACATGGTCAGACACCGTGTGTAGAATTTCTTATGGTTGCACATGGTCAGAAACCGCATGTGGATTTCTTATGGTTGCACATGGTCAGACACCGTGTGTAGATTTCTTATGGTTGCACATGGTCAGACACCGTGTGTAGATTTCTTATGGTTGCACATGGTCAGACACCGTGTGTAGATTTCTTATGGTTGCACATGGTCAGACACCGTGTAGATTTCTTATGGTAGATCAGACACCGTTCTTATGGTTGCACATGGTCAGACACCGTGGATTTCTTATGGTTGCAGGTTTCTTATGTAGATTTCTTATGGTTGCACATGGTCAGACACCGTGTGTAGATTTCTTATGGTTGCACATGGTCAGAACACGCGTGTAGATTTCTTATGGTTGCACATGGTCAGACACCGTGTGTAGATTTCTTATGGTTGCACGTGGTCAGACACCGTGTGTAGATTTCTTGTGGTTGCACATGGTCAGAATCCGCATGTGGATTTCTTATGGTTGCACATGGTCAGAAACCGCATGCCAGTCATCGATAATGATTCTAAGATGAATGATTCAAACAGTCATACTTTCCTGTGTCCAACAGGACTTGCGCAAGACATTATCTGCTTCCTTCACAATTTACATGTGTGTGGAACACAATAATTTGCACTCCTGGTGTTATTTTAGAAATATAGGGTTGATTTGTTTGCAATCTGAAAATCAAATATGGCGACACTCTCTAAGTTGAAAGTCCTGTTGAATTTGAGACAAGTAGGGTAACCATGAACTTTTAGTTGTTCATGCCACACATAATATCTTTTTCTGAATATCCTATATTCTACATGCTTTACATTGTATTTCATTCCAGGCCAAGAAATCAGTCATACAAGCGGTACTAAAGTCCAAGAACTCCAAACATAAAGATGTTATGAAGGAGACATATAGGTCCTTCCTTGACATCATGCAAAACTTTCTACATCTAATCATTGATACTCATGAGTACATCGAAGAACCGTTTTTGTTGAAGGTACTGTATGACCATAAGGATAGGTATTATCAGTGCATAGATCGATGCTCATGCTGTTGATCACTGGATTGTCTCAGTCTGGTCCAGGCTCGATTATTTACAGTTGGCTGCCATATAGCTGGAATATTGCTGAGTGTGGTATTAAAAAACAAACAAATGGTATTATCAGTTACCATGGTTACAGATATCTCTCATCATAATCACAATAATTTATCATCTCTTCAACCCTATAATCAGTTAGTCGTTTCCATGTATGAAATCCTTGATATATTTGGAACAAGTTTTGAAATTAATTTCCATTTTGTTACTGCTGACAAGCAGCTTTACGTTATATTAGACGTGTATATTAGACGTTTATATTAGACTTCTTCACTTAGTCTCTTGTCCAGAAAAAATGTGACATTTTGTTCTATCTCACAGCTTGCCAGGGCATATGCGGAAACAGAACGGAGGGAAAACATGAATCAGACGCCCAGGAAGAGAAGGTAATTAGGGTCACAAAGACTTGAAAGGGCCTTGAAAGTTACCAAAATAGCTTCAAAAGAATTCAATTTGTGCCTAATAGCATTTACATACAGAAACCCATATCTGTTGTCAGTTTTTGAAAAGAGCTCTTCTTGTCATCAAATTACTAACCAGTGTTCATGAATAGTGTCTGAACCTCTGACAAATCCGGCAGATTCACCAACGGTCTGATGTAAGTCTACAACCGGAAGGCCCCAGTGTCTGACTGTATAGTTCACAATGACTCTGACTGAAGTTGTTATATGTGACATGTGACACTTGTTTGCTGTTTAGAAATCTTATGTTTGTTAATAATTTCAATGCCAATTATAAGAAATGTTAAATCTGAAATTTGTGTTTAATTTTATTCTATGGGTCTTGTGAAGTTTCAATGGGTCAGACAGAGATCTGAGACTTACAGGACCCAATGTGCTGTTACTTTTAAAGACCATTCGTGAACACTGCTAACAGGATTTATTTTCAGTTTTAGATTTGGGTTTACATTCACTTGTTTGGAAGAAACTTTGGTAGTTTAGTAGAAAGTCTTTTGTGGCTTTTGGCCTGTCATCTGCAGGGATTCACAGGAAGCGAATTCCTGCGTCCAATAATCATAAAAATTGACAATGGACGCAACAAAATTTATTAGCACATCCACAGGGATGCAGAAAAAGTCAAAATACTTTTTGTAAAAATTCCAATCAAGTAACAGTAAGTTATCAAAGAGTTTGCTACTAGCTGGGTTATGGTATCATTTGCAATTCAATTGACGATCATGATACACAAGACAATAACACTATTAATAATAATATTTAAGTGTCTGGACCCCCATTTTGTTGCCCAGGACCCCTAATAATTAAGAGAATGAGTCCCAAGGACCCTCAAAAACAGGAGTCAAGGTAAATCCCTGCATTTGTCCAAATGGTGGCATAATGTGACTTCTTTTGATGTCTTAGAAAGTCAATTTTCAAAACATTACGAGTAAAAGCTACGTATTCAACTAACCATCCATATGTACAGTCCGTTTGAGTCAGAAACGGACCGATGAATTGCAAATTTGATCATTGTACAAAATTGCCACAGAAATATAAATAGTACACATGTTTATCATTTACTAATACCCAACTTCTTTCTTATATGTGAAAATTTTCCGGACTCCACCAAAAAAGTTGTTTAACAAACTGTCATTAAAATTTTGACACAGTTCACTATGTGTTACGAGGGAGGAGTGCAGAGAAAGGGACAGCCAGGTGTTCGAGAAGCAGGTGCACAAGTGCCGACAAGGTTATTGATTCATTAACCTGTGCTGTGCCGTCTCCATCCTTTTTCGCACACCTGGCTGTCCCTTTCTTTGCACTCCTCCCTCGTAACAAATAGTGAACTGTGTCAAAATTTTAATGATAGTTTGTTAAACAACTTTTTAATTTTTAGGACATAAATTCTGCAAATAAATCACAGAGTTGGTCTGATGTATTGATTATGATCAGCGTTTCATTAAGTATTATATGTTTATTATTTTTCGAGTTAGATTGCAATTCATCGGTCCGTTTTTAAGCCAAACGGACTGTAATTTGAAACGGCCAATCTACATGCTTTGATTCGTTCACAGGAAACTGAACCTGCAAGACATCAAGACAATATCGGCTCATGAAGGAATTCTTGTCGACAATGAAAACATCACTCTCCCATCCAACAATGGAGATGAGTTCAACAAGAAGCTGGACAGATATAGGAACAAGGTTTGCTGGTTACTAGGAGAAACCTTTAATTGATTCTCATCCCCCTGGGGACTGCATAGGCAAATTGTCTACCAACGGGGTCGACAGTATGGATCGTGTCAGTCCCCCAAACCCATAGTTATCTGCTTGAATGTTACTTGGGTTGTACTGATTCCCAGTACAGCGTACATGGCTTGTTGTTAGAGATTTAGGCAGTAGTGGTCCATAGTAGTCTTTGCTAGTCTCTTGTGGTAGTCTGAGACCCGTGAAGATCGGGATTAGAGTTGGTCTTCAGCAGCCCAAGTTTGTCATAAGATGCGACTAAAGTGATCCGGTGGTCAGGCTCGTTGACTTGGTTGACACATGTTATTGCATCCCAATTGCATAGAGCAATGTTCATGCTGTTGGTCACTGGACTGTCTGGTCCAGACTTGATTGTTTACAGATCTCCGCCATTTAGCTGGAATATTGTTGAGTGTGGCATCACAGAGTGAAAAAAACAACCAAAGTTTGAACATGACCTTAGTACCCCACGCTTTTCTTTGTTGTAATTCAGAGCTCCAGATAAGATTTAGCTCATGTGGGTACCGTACCAACTGTATTTTTTTGGAGTGGGTATTATGAATGTTGAGTGGGTATTTCATTTTCCGTTACCCACCGCTTTCAAATATGTGCGTATTTCAGTCATTTTACTCACCTAAGTATTATGTCATTGAGTAAGTTTACTAAGCAGGTATGTTCTGCCTTATGTCATACCTAATCAAAACCAACCTAAATATAATGGAAATGATTTCATAAAAAATTCCTCATCCTATACTGACAGTACAACACTAGTCCTATACCAACAGTACAACTTGATAGCAATCCATGTCTTTTTCATTACGCAAGCGATTTTTTATAAATATATTCCGTACGCATTTGTTTTAAACATTTTGCGTATCTGACATTTTAAATGCGTAATTGGTACGCAACAATTATTTTTCAATGCGTAATTGGACATTTTCTATGCGTATTTTACGTAATTGGTACGCAACAATTATTTTTCAATGCGTAATTGGACATTTTCTATGCGTATTTTACCCAGATACGCAGCTTATCTGGGCCTCTGGTAATTTGAGGAAAAATAGTTTGTTTGAGGCTGTTGAGATTTTCCAGTTTCATTTTATTATATTTGCTTTGCAATAGCAGTCATTCCATCATAAAGAATGGTAGTCAAAGGGCTCGATTTAGTGCTTTGTTACTTGCACCAGTGCTACCCAATATTACAAAGTGCAACCTAGTTTTAGTCAAACTTGCACCAGGTACAAGTCAATTTTTGAGGAATAAATCAACAATAAATTTAACATTCTAAGCATATCAGCTCATTTTTCTTCTAAACTTTAAATGGCTATGGCACCAAAACATTGCTATTTATAGACACGTCTCGGCTATGATAGCACTTGTACACAGGGATCAACTGTGTCTCCGTGTTGCTATGGTTTCATGGGTACTACATCACGGAAATATGTTTATGTGCACCGAAACCACTGACGTTAACGCACTACATTGCAACTGGAATTTGGCTTGTGCAACTAGGTTTTTATCTTAGGTTGCACCTGGTTCAAGTAGGCTAACATCTCTTAAATTGATCCCTGCAGTCGTGTTGTGTAGACAGTATCACAGTCGTGTTGTGTAGACAGTATCACAGTCGTGTTGTGTAGACAGTATCACAGTCGTGTTGTGTAGACAGTATCACAGTCGTGTTGTGTTGACAGTATCACAGTCGTGTTGTGTAGACAGTATCACAGTCGTGTTGTGTAGACAGTATCACAGTCGTGTTGTGTAGACAGTATCACAGTCGTGTTGTGTAGACAGTATCACAGACAGGACATGATGGAACATGCTCTGATTGGTTTCAGACGGTCAACGGCATCGTTACGGCAGCGCTGCAGGACAGAAACAACTCCAACATGGACGACGAGTCAGGGGGAGGTAACTCATAGATAGGCTTCATTCTACTCTTGCACAAATGTGTCATCACAAGCCAAATTGACTGTACTCCTTTATCACCTGTGAATAAATACGTCTGCATTGCAGTATCGTAGAGTGCAACCTGGTTTTGTCTGATGCAACTTGGTTTTCATGTCAACTTGACCTTGGTGCAAGTTTTGTCAAGTTCGTTAAATCAAGACCAGATGTATGTTTTCAAACCTGTGAAGTATTGATGACAATAAGCCCAGTGCCACCTCCGTTTTTTAGTTGTTGGAACTAGTGCTGGAACGAATAATCGTGGCTCGATCTAAGACAAAAATAAACTATTGTCAATTACAAATAACCTGCAGATGGATAATCGGAAATAATCATTATCTAGATGCACATGCATTCTAGCGTTTTATTCTACCTTATTGCGTTTTCTTTTACTGAACAGTCTGGTTGGTCATCATTGCTTGTGTATCATTTGATGAAAACAGACCATATACATGTAATAAATTATATGGCCTCTGATGAAAGTCCACAGGCCTCATATTCTGTTAAAATTCAAGTAAATAGAAATTATCTTACCTTAGTATCTTTTACTGGGTTTTGGAGCAATGACATGATATGAAATTATTCTACTGAACTTTCAAGGATTGTTGCTGTGTGCTGAAGTGTCTGATTGTGATATGCTCCAATTACTACAGTATGTAAAATTGTCTCTGCCATCAAAACCAAAAAATGTCAAGAACAGTCTTCTTTGATTTAAAATAGTGCCAAAACCTGAGCACTCTTTCATTTAATGTCTGTATGTATGTGGTATTGTCGTTGCCACATATATATGGCAATAAGAAATCCAAATTGAAATCTCAATGAATTAGCTGCAAACTGGATGACAAAAATCATTTATTGCAGGGCTCGATTTTGGGAAAGGAAACCTATATGTCCCTGATACCACCTTACATGATTACCTTGATGCCTCAGACAAAAACAGGTTGCACCTCCTGCTCAATACATAATTATCTATTTCTTGAGGTTTTGATATTGCTGATTCACAGCATCATTACAACAAATTATTCTGGGTCTGGTATGATAATTTTATATTACTTCATAAAATTTCATGACATGAAAAAAAGGGTCATTCTTTCAATCGCTGTCAGTGTAATCATTGCTCCAAACCAGTTTGGGTCATCAGTCTGTTTCCCAGATGAAGTCTGTTTTTTTTTAACAGCAAAATATCAACATGCACAGTGTGCAAGAAGTATTAAATATAATACTTCACAGAATAAATTTTCTATTTCACCATTATTTAAACGTCTTTGTTCACCCTTCAACATCAACACAAGACAGAAAAAAGTTTTTATAAAACGTTTATTGTTTTACTTGATGATCCAAAGACGCTGCAAATGTAAGTAACTTGCTAGCGGTAACAATTGACAGGTGCTGACAACAACCCGGGAAGTTAGTTCGCTAACGTAGGTATTTGACTTTGAAATGACTGTCCAAACGATTATAGTTGACCGATTATTGATCCGACACTAGCGATTATCGGTCTGACAAAATGTAACGATAACCAGCTCTAGTAGGAACATTAACTATTTAGATATTACTTGTAGGGGTGAAACGGTACGCTCTTACCACGGTATGGTACATATTGCTGTACAAGGCCTTCGGTTCGGTCTGTTTCGGTTCGGTCCGTTTCGGTTCGATATATGAGATATGATTATTTCGCATAAATTTACAACAAGAGCCAAACCTTACATTATAACACGGGAATAAATAACCATAATCTTTGTCATTTTGAATGAACAAAAAACTCATTTCATGACTAGATAGAAATGACGGTACAAAAACCGAAAATACCAAATATTTGGATTGCATTACAGTATACCGAACCAAAGAGAAAATACTGCCGTTCTACTAATACTGCGCTATACCATTTCACCCCAAATTACTTGATGTCTGAAGAAAATGTTGCTACACCAAGCTCCCCACTAGCGTCTATAGTCTCCCAACTGTTGCAGATGATGATGACTCACCAGACACAGACAGAGGCAGCCATTCAAGGTATGTCAGTATGAATTTATGTTTGACATTCAAGGTATGTCAGTATGAATTTATGTTTGACATTCAAGGTATGTCCGTATGAATTTACGTTTGACATTCAAGGTATGTTAGTATGAATTTACGTTTGACATTCAAGGTATGTCCGTATGAATTTATGTTTGACATTCAAGGTATGTCAGTATGAATTACGTTTGACATTCAAGGTATGTCAGTATGAATTACGTTTGACATTCAAGGTATGTCAGTATGAATTTATGTTTGACATTCAAGGTATGTCCGTATGAATTTATGTTTGACATTCAAGGTATGTCAGTATGAATTACGTTTGACATTCAAGGTATGTCAGTATGAATTTATGTTTGACATTCAAGGTATGTCAGTATGAATTTACGTTTGACATTAAAGCTTTGTTTTGGCAGTCTTACTTAACACCAGCGGGAAAGTCTGTTGTTGGATAGGTATATTAAATTTTGTTTCTTTTTACATGCTGATGTCATGTATTTAACAATTTGTGCCTATTTCACATAACTAATTTTGAATCATTATAGCAAAACTAGAATAAGAGTTATGTTGTCCTTTAAAAATCACTTTCCATGTACCTTTGGGTATTTTGTCATTGAAACATGTCATTGCCTTGAGAAAGTGATAGAAATGGACTCATTCATGATCACTTAGTCTTTCACTCACTCGATCTGGATCCCTCATTCTCTATCACTTGTGCTCAGTTACTCTCGTATGCTCGCTCAATCAGGCTCTCTCTATCACTCACACCCACAGACTCATTCCCACTCATAAATACACAGTGCCATTTAGAAAGAGGTCAAAGTGAACATATATTTGGGAATACACTTTCTCACAGAGAAAGGTTGTGTCTCATCTGGGATTCAAACCCACACTCTCACAGTCAGGCACCTAATCGCCAGTACACAAAGTCAGCCATCTAACCCACTCAGCCATCTAACCCACTCAGCCATCTTACCCACTCAGCCATCTAACCCACTCAGCCATCTAACCCACTCAGCCATCTTACCCACTCAGCCATCTAACCCTCTCAGCCATCTAACCCACTCAGCCATCTAACCCACTCAGCCATCTAACCCTCTCAGCCATCTAACCCACTCAGCCATCTAACCCACTCAGCCATCTAACCCACTCAGCCATCTAACCCTCTCAGCCATCTAACCCTCTCAGCCATCTAACCCACTCAGCCATCTAACCCACTCAGCCATCTAACCCTCTCAGCCATCTAACCCACTCAGCCATCTAACCCACTCAGCCATCTAACCCTCTCAGCCATCTAACCCTCTCAGCCATCTAACCCAGTCAGCCATCTAACCCACTCAGCCATCTAACCCTCTCAGCCATCTAACCCTCTCAGCCATCTAACCCTCTCAGCCATCTAACCCACTCAGCCATCTAACCCTCTCAGCCATAGCAGCTTTCACGCTGAGCGTGTTAGGCGTCTGACTTTGTGTGCTGGCGATTAGGTGCCTGACTCTGAGGGTGTGGGGTCGAATCCCAGAATCTGTACTTTACTGAGAAAGTGTAAACCCAAATATAACGTATGTTACATTACCACTCAGTCAGGATGAATCAATCAGTCATCCGCTCATCTTCAGATTCCATTTTCAGCGACTCTAGAAGCCCAGGAAGAGATCATTACAGTAAACACAAGAGTAAAAGGTGAGAATTACTGAATTCAGTGGACTCTTATCCAGCAGATTCATAAGATGATCAGGTTTGTCCTATCTTTGTTCATCCCAGTTGCATATCAACAAACCTATTGTTTGTTTTTTTGTCAAATGCTGCACTCAGGCTATATTTTGGCTGTCTGTAGTGTAAATAATCGAGTCTGGACCAGACAATCCAGTGATCAAGAATATGAGCATCGACCTGCCCAATTAGGTTAAGATGACGTGTCAACCAAGTCATCGAGCTTGACCAACCGATGATAAGCAAGAAACTGTATCATACTTGCGTATTTTTCTCTAAATAAGTAAGTCAGTACTTTAACATGTTTAAGATAAAACTGTTTCGAAATAAGTTGTGTATCGTTTTGTATCAATACACCAGTCGACGATACGATAGCTGTATCAGCTTAAATGTATAGCGATGTATCGGTGCATCGGTGAATCGTCCCAGCCCTACAATCTAGTGATCAACAGCATGAGCATCGAACTACGCAAATGTGATATGATCTTGCTAGTCGCCTCTTACGACAATCATGGGTTACTGAAGACCAGTTCTAATGGTCATTAACAAAAGTATGGAATTGCAACAAATTAATCTTTCTAAATGGATAATGTGGTCAGACGTCACAAGGACCGCCTCCGTGGTGTAGTGGTTAGAGCGTCCGCCTGGAGTGCGGAAGGTCGTGGGTTCAATCCCCGACCGCGTCATACCAAAAGACGTTAAAATATGGTACTTGTTGGTCCCTGCCTGGTGCTCGGCATTAATGGGTACAACAAGGACTGGTCGGCTCGGAGACAGTATAATGTGTCTGAGTGGGGTATTCATGCTTCACTGCGGCATGGTATCTCAGTGGGCTAGCACTATAAAACCAGCTGAAGTCTGGGCTAGTACAAGCAGCCTCACATACACATACACACGCATGCACGTCGTCATATGAGCGAAATATTCTCCAGCCCGACATTAAACCCAATTCCACCACCATCAGACGTCACAATGTGGTTGATTCTGTCGCTTTGTTCTGTAATGATGTGGGATGTTTATACATGATGTCAGGGCCGGTGGGGTAGCCTAGTGGTTAAAGTGTTCGCTTGTCACGCCAAAGACCCGGGTTTTATTCCCCACATGGGTACAAGGTGTGAAGCCCATTTCTGGTGTCCCCCGCCGTGATATTGCTGGAATATTGCTAAAAGCGGCGTAAAACTGAACTCACTCACTCACTATACATGATGTCAGTCACCTGGTCACAAGATATTCTGTTGTTTTACAGTTTTTTTCGTGAAGACAGAACATGTGTCAAAGCCTTATTGATTTCGCTTCTCTTCAGCCCTTCAGAAAGAAGAAAACTGTTACTTTCAACACAAAAAACGAGAAAACGACTTGCAAAGACAACAGAGGCCCTAAGGTCAGTTTGATGATGATGATGATGATGATAGTGATGATGATTATGGTGATGATGATGATTATGGTGATGATGATGATTATGGTGATGATAGTGATTATGGTGATGATGATTATGGTGATGATGATTATGGTGATGATGGTGATAGTGATTATGATGATGATTATGGTGATGATGATTATGGTGATGATAGTGATTATGGTGATGATAGTGATTATGGTGATGATGATTATGATGATAGTGATTATGGTGATGATGATTATGGTGATGATGATTATGATGATGATAGTGATTATGGTGATGGTGATGATGATTATGGTGATGATGATTATGATGATCGTGATTATGATGATGATTATGGTGATAATGATGATAGTGATTATGGTGATGATGATTATGGTGATGATGATTATGGTGATGATGATTATGGTGATGATGATGATTATGGTGATGATGATGATTATTGTGGTGATGATGATTATGGTGATGATAGTGATTATGGTGATGATGATGATTATGGTGATGATGATTATGGTGATGATGATGATTATGGTGATGATGATGGTGATAGTGATTATGATGATGATGATGATTATGGTGATGATGATTATGGTGATGATAGTGATTATGGTGATGATAGTGATTATGGTGATGATGATTATGATGATAGTGATTATGGTGATGATGATTATGATGATGATAGTGATTATGGTGATGGTGATGATGATTATGGTGATGATGATTATGATGATCGTGATTATGATGATGATTATGGTGATAATGATGATAGTGATTATGGTGATGATGATTATGGTGATGATGATTATGGTGATGATGATTATGGTGATGATAGTGATTATGGTGATGATGATTATGGTGATGATGATGATTATGGTGGTGATGATTATGGTGATGATAGTGATTATGGTGATGATGATGATTATGGTGATGATGATTATGGTGATGATGATGATTATGGTGATGATGATGGTGATAGTGATTATGATTATGATGATGATGATGATGATGATAGTGATTATGGTGATGATGATGGAGATGATGATTATGGTGATGATGATTATGGTGATTATGATGATTATGGTTATGGTGATGATGATGATTATGGTGATGATTATGGTGATGATGATGATTAAAATATCATGTTTGCCTAATATCCTAATCTTATGTGTCTCTGATGTGATGGTATGCATGGTTGGTGTAATCCAAGATTTAGAGCCTGCAGTATATGTTAACAGAATTTGTGCAAGATATTAATTTGGTGTGTTGATGCTACGATTGTTTTACAGGAAGACTGTTCACGGTGTGCAAGCAGTGTCATCATCCCCACAATCAAACAACAGGTAAGGAAAACAAATGAAGACAACAAACTAGTTTTCAGTTTCATTAAATGATTAGAATTTAAGATTTTCGTATCATGTTTAAATACAAGACAGCTCTTATGGATAACAACTTCTTGATTTATTTTACACAACGTTTCTGGGCTAGTTCTTGCCCCTTCGTCAGGTGGATAATGATCATAGTGAACAATACAGTATATATATATTGATGTACAGGAAGCCAGATATGTAAATAAGTATATACAAGCGCAATCTGCCCTCAGAACGCATCATCAAAAATGTAAGATGTTTGATTATCAGTATGCAAGATGTTTGATTATCAATATGCAAGGTGTTTGATTACCCATGTGCAAGATGTTTGATAATCAGTGTGCAAGATGTTTGATGATCAATGTGTGAGACGATTAATGATGAGTGTGCAAGATGTTGGATGATGAGTGTGTAAGATGTTTGATTACCCATCTGCAAGATGTTTGATGATCAGTGTGCAAGATGTTTGATGATCAGTGTGCAAGATGTTTGATGATCAATGTGTGAGACGATTACTGATGAGTGTGCAAGATGTTGGATGATGAGTGTGTAAGATGTTGGATGATCAGTGTGCAAGATGTTGGATGATCAGTGTGAAAGATGTTGGATGATCAGTGTGCAAGATGTTTGATGATCAGTGTTGTGTGCAAGATGTTTGATGGTGACTGCAAGATGTTTGATGATCAGTGTGCAAGATATGATCAGTGTGCAAGATGTTTGATGATCAGTGTGCAAGATGCTGGATGATCAGTGTGCAAGATGTTGGATGATCAGTGTGCAAGATGTTTGATGATCAGTGTTGTGTGCAAGATGTTTGATGGTGACTGCAAGATGTTTGGTGATCAGTGTGCAAGATATGATCAGTGTGCAAGATGTTGGATGATCAGTGTGCAAGATGTTGGATGATCAGTGTGCAAGATGTTGGATGATCAGTGTGCAAGATGTTTGATGATCAGTGTGCAAGATATGATCAGTGTGCAAGATGTTTGATGATCAATGTGCAGGATGTTTGATAATCAGTGTGCAAGATGTTGATTACCCATGTGCAAGATGTTTGATGATCAGTGTGCAAGATGTTTGATGATCAGTGTGCAAATTTTTTTGTTATGAGTGTGCAAGATGTTTGATGAACAGTGTGCAATATGTTTGATGATCAGTGTGGTGCAAGATGTTTGACTATCAGTGTGCAGAATGTTTTAATATCAGTGCTGACAGCAGCCTCTGTTAAGTGACTCTCTTTGTTCAGAGTTTGAGCTGTTTACTACACGAGGGATGTCGAGGTGGGACTGTTCTATCTGTTAAATTGATAGGTTTAGGTATTGAATATGTGTATCACTAACACAGACCAACAATTCTGTCAGCAGTAAGAGGAAGGGGAGTGTGAAATCCTCAGATTCAGGACGTTCTGGAGAAGAAACACCACGCTCACGATACAGAGACCAGTCCCGAGATCGTGACATTAGCAACAGGTCGCGAGATGGATCTTCACGGTCTCCACACACAAGTCCATCTAACAACCTTCAGAAGTTCCGGTACAGGAAGAATGTTAACAGAAAGGACCGCCATGTCTATGACATGCCCAGCTCAGATGATATGGAGAGTGTGGATCTGACGGACGAGGAATATTCTGATGATGAAGGTAGGACCTTGCTGTGTTTAGTTATCCTAATATGATAGCTACATCATTCAAGATTTTCACTAAGCGGAGACTTGCAGATCTGTGGATGTGTCTATCCCTGGTCTTATCTGTGGGGATGGCTAAAACCGAGATTGACTTCTTTCAACAAATAATCATTGGACTGACTGACTGACTGAGTTTGGTTTTACGCCGCTTTTAGCAATATTCCAGCAACATCACGGCGGGGGACACCAGAAATGGGCTTCACACATTGTGCCAATGTGGGGATTCGAACCCATGTCTTCGGCGTGACGAGCCAATGCTTTAACCATTAGGCTACCCCACCGCCCCAATAATCATTGGAAGAAATGAGAATGCTTGGAGATTGTGTTGAAACATGACTGCCACTGATGCTGTGACATTGAAGATTTTTCTCCGTTAATGCATGTGACATGAAAATGTCAAAGGTCAAATTTCATATTTGTTCATAAGGTAGAGAAATATGTTTGCATTTAGACATTGAAAACTTATTTCCCAAATGTCCCTGGGAAATTCTTTTAGCGCTGTGAAAAAGTCAAGGTCAAATTTCGTATTCACAAGAAAGAAAAATATGTCTGTTTACATTTTCTCAAGAGGCATTGATTCATTTCTCATTAAACATGGTACTGTCTGGGATAGGAGCCTGATATAACTTGATTTACAAATATTTCAACATGAAGCGTTGGGCCATGTTTTACAAAGGTCAAGGTCATTTATAAGGTTATTATGAAACATCCTTCGTTCATTATGATCAAGTGGTCAGGCTCGTTGACTTGATTGATGCATGTTATTACATCCCAATTGTGTAGATTGATTTACATGTCAGGAACTGGATTGCCATGGCCAGATCGGACTATTTACAGACATATAACTGGATTGCCATGGCCAGATCGGACTATTTACGGACATATAACTGGAAAATCACTGAGTGCAGTGTTCACTAACAAAGAAAAAAATAGAGAAAGTTAATTAAAGAAAATGTTTTTCATATATTTCATAGTGTCATCCCGAAAACAAATTCGTCTGGAAGGGCAACCGAAAGTGTGGCGGAGCTTGCAGCCTAAGTCGCGCAGGGTGAAGCGCAAGGGTGGCTCCAGGAAGTTCTGGACTCCCAAGGAAGAGGAGGAATTCTACAATGCAGTCCAGGAGTTCGGTGTGGGGAACTGGACAAATGTGAAGACCTACCTACAGACATTCAGGTCATCAGTAGATCTGAAAGATAAATGGCGGAATTTGGAACGATGTGGTAAAATGAAAACTTTGTCAAAGAAATTTGGAAAAGTTGTGTGAGAATATTTTGAAGCAGATAAGGAGAGAAAATCTGCAAAAGTGTTTGGATACAAGAGCAACTCGTGTCAACTTGACTAAACTTTGCGCGTCTGTCTGCTCCAGGTATTGTTTACAGTGTGAGACTCCGGGGCAGTCTAAGGATACAGTTCCTAGCTGAACAACATTTGTAACTGACCGTAACAGTTGTAACTTTTTATTGTATATGCCATGAGTTTGTTTAACATGGATTGATGTCAGCTGCATTTATAGAGCTTGTTTTGGAATGTGTCCAAGTCCCCCGGTCAGTCTTAGAGATTCTCGATAAAACTGGTTTGAATTATGAGGTGCCACAATTTGCTGTACGGAGCAGGTGCCACAATTGGCTGTACAGAGCAGGTGCCACAATTGGCTGTACAGAGCAGGTGCCACAATGTGCTGTACGCTGGAGGTGCCACAACTGGCTGTACAGAGCAGGTGCCACAATTGGCTGTACAGAGAAGGCACCACAATTGTCTGTACAGAGCAGGTGCCACAATTGTCTGTACAGAGCAGGTGCCACAATTGGCTGTACAGAGCAGGTGCCACAATGTGCTGTACGCTGGAGGTGCCACAACTGGCTGTACAGAGCTGCACAGGCGGTGCCACAATGTGCTGTACAGAGAAGGCACCACAATTGGCTGTACAGAGCAGGTGCCACAATGTACAGAGCAGGCACCACAATTGGCTGTACAGAGCAGGTGCCACAATTGTCTGTACAAGGTGCCACACAGGCAGGTGCCACAATTGGCTGTACAGAGCAGGTGCCACAATTGGCTGTACAGAGCAGGTGCCACAATTGGCTGTACAGAGCAGGTGCCACAATTGGTGTACACTGTACTGAGCAGGTGCAGAGCAGGTGCCACAATTGGCTGTACAGAGAAGGCTGTTGGCTGTACAGAGCAGGTGCCACAATTGGCTGTACAGAGCAGGTGCCACAATTGTACAGAGCAGGTGCCAGAGCAGGTGCCACAATTGGCTGTACAGAGCAGGTGCCACAATGGCTGTACAGAGCAGGTGCCACAATTGGCTGTACAGAGCAGGTGCCACAATTGGCTGTACAGAGAAGGCACAATTGGCTGTACAGAGAAGGCACCACAATTGGCTGTACAGAGCAGGTGCCACAATTGGCTGTACAGAGAAGGCACCACAATTGGCTGTACAGAGGTGCCACAATTGGCTGTGCACAATTGGCTGTACAGAGCAGGTGCCACAATTGTGCAATTGGCTGTACAGAGAAGGCGCCACAATTGGCTGTACAGAGAAGGCACCACAATTGGCTGTACAGAGCAGGTGCCACAATTGGCTGTACAGAGCAGGTGCCACAATTGGCTGTACAGAGCAGGTGCCACAATTGGCTGTACAGAGAAGGCACCACAATTGGCTGTACAGAGCAGGTGCCACAATTGGCTGTACAGAGAAGGCACCACAATTGGCTGTACAGAGAAGGCACCACAATGTGCTGTACGCTTGAGGTGCCACAATTTGTGGACAGATTAAGTGTTTCTGAGTCTCAGGGGAAACCCTGACAGTTAATCGAAATGCCCGGTCTCCCTGATGATGTTACTGGGTTTGTCAGCTCCATACCCCTGTGTGAGGGTGTCGCAAGAGAGTTAAACAACTAAGACCTGCATCTCTTCAGGCTTTCCTCCACATCCTCTCATCATGTGTACCAGGAATACTGGAATACTATTCAGAGGACCCTGTTCTCGCAGTGCCCCATGCTCTTCTCCCATAAGGATTCTGGTAGAGATCCGACAAGATGGGTTTACAGCAGGAGCAATGATCATTGTAACTTCCGTATCACCCATTGGCCATGTGACACATTGTGCTCAGTATTATTTCATTGCCTCTTTCAAATATTGCATCTTGGCATCAATGCCATCAATAAGATTGATACACCATTCAGAAGCTATAACATTTGGTTATTCATCTTGATCTGAACTACAGATTTTCAGGTCTTCAGCAATCCATGCATGTCCTTAGGGGTAATTGTGTGGTTTATACTAGTCATTAGGGTTGGGTCTTGTCAAAGTGTCGTATTGCGATATATTGTGATATGTGTTGGCGTATTGCAATATGTATTGCAATATATTGTGAAAGTGTAACACATGGTTTTAGGTAATGAAATTACTGTTTCCTTTCTTTTGAAACAATGCCACTGGCCACTGTCAGGACAAGAGATAAACTTAAAAGGTTTACAAATTGAAGAACTATAGAATTGGAATACTAATTTGGAACTATAAAAAAAGCGTCTGCAGAGGCATCTGCCATTTTGGTTTTTCTTCATCCCTACAACGGGTACCAATTCTATTTGGTTTTATTTATATGGTTTATAAGTCAGGCAAATGCAATTATACGACCAATAAACATTCTCAAAACTATATACAGGAAGTACAAATTTTATTAGTATTTTTTACTACATCACGGAGATTATCGATCATGGTCACAGAAATTGCCGATCGTATCGGATGAATTGGTTCGCAAAAAGTGTACCGCAATATATCGTACTGTGAAGTTAGAATTGCAATATACCGGTTAACCGGTACTATCGCCCATCCCTACTAGTCATATCCCATTGTTGTAGATCGATGCTCTTGATGTCGACCATTGGATTATCCAGACCTGATTATTTAGAGACGACCATCATATAGCTGGAATATTGCTGAGTGTGGCATTATACAATGAGAAACATTCCTCCACGATGACAAATTTAACATAATTTAGAACCGGCCCATGAATAAAGTCCTAACCTTGTGAATTGTGTGAGTAAATTATAACTATATTCTATCACGAAAGTTTTTGTATGATATTATCTATGTCACAATGTTCATATCAAAAATCATTAATAACTTTTCCTATTGACAGTATTTCTGATTATCAATCATTTATGTGGTGGCGTGGAGTCCTTTGCTCAGAGCTCAGGTCACGAATCTGTTGAAGTTAAGCAACTTCAAGCTCGAACAGTCCTTGGATGGGTGAGAGTTTCAGGGACTTCAGTCCTGCCCCACAACGAAACACATGTGATACATGTGGTCTCACCTTAGGCAAGTGAGTTTGTTCAATTTTGCCTCTGTTCACCCAGCAGAAAATGGGTACCGGGTTGGATAGAGTCATGTGACTATAACCATCTAGCGCCTAACAGGCAGCTTGGGTTATCCGGGGTAAAAATAATCAGATTCTTATTAAGCGCTGCGAGCAATCACTTGGTGTTTGGAGACTGTGTGCTATAGAAGATGACTTATTATTATTATTTAACCACCCTAATGACAGTAGTTATTGATAGTCACCCCTCCTGACTAGTACTGTGTGAGCGAGTTTAACAATGGATTGTCTGGTCCAGATTTGATTACATAACCCATTGTAAATATACTGCTGGAATATTGTGGCATTTAATAACACATGTAAATAAACTTGCATTATCAAAGGATTTTGTAGTAGTTCTTCCTTGTTACTTGACATTGGGTTTTCTCTGCAGCTTATTGTTGATAGATATTCATCTTTGTCTTGTTTATGATGCTGTAGAGTAGATTCAAGGGTCAAGTTGCATGGAACAATCTTAACTCCCCTACTCTAACACAGACTTAGAGCGGTGGGGTAGCCTAGTGGTTAAAGCGGTCACTAGTCTTGCTACTCTGGTTAAGTTCCCTACATTGGTTCAATGTGTAAAGCCCATTTCCGGTTTCCCCTGCCATGATACTGCTGGAATATTGCTAAAAGCAAAATAAAACTAAACTTAAGATAGTCATCGTGTTAAGATCACTTTGTGCAAGTGGGCCCAGTTTGTATCTTGATGCTGTGTTTTTGCTGAGTGACTTGGGTTAAATCTCATTCCAAGATGAATTTTGAAAATACTGTTTGATTGGTGAGGTTTCAAATTACGGTAGCCCATTTCGCCATTGGAACCACAGTACAGTGGATGCTCTCAAAACCGGCAGCCCACCAATCTGGCATGCTCTCAATATCGGCACTAGGACTTGGTCCCGGCAGGAGCTATTAATTTATTATCATTTACACGCCCTCTAATCCGGCATCAGTCTATTACGTATTTTGGCTCAACAAAGACCGCCCAGTTGACTGTAATTAACGCTCTCTAAATGGAATGCTGGATTAGAGGGCTTCCACTGTACATGTATATATATTCAACAATCATGCCTAATAGTAGTAAGTTGTTGACATCAACGACTGACTGACTGACTGAGTTTGGTTTTACGCCGCTTTCAGCAATATTCCAGCAAAATCACACCAGAAATGCCTAATATGTATTCAACCCGTCTTTGGCGGAAGCCAACGCTTTAACCATTAGTACCCTGACCGCATCAAGGAGATGAAGTAAGTGTTGAGATGACACAGAAGCAATGACACTCATTGGTTAGATGGTCCAACTTGTTGAAGAATGTTGCTTGTATGTATGTCATCTATTGCCGTGTTTGACAGTGTTATTGCAAGAGAAATCCGAGCTAAAGTTTGTTCATGTTTAATAACGATAACAGTAAAACCTTCTGTTGACTTAATGGTAAATTTGAAGTAACTGATCAGTTCTGAGCAAATTGAATGCATTTAGGTTAAAGCCTTGATTTGTCACAATCAAGACCCGAGTTTGAGTCCCCACATTGTACATTGTTAAGCCCATTTCTGATGGCCCCGCTGTAATAATGCTTGAATATTGATACAAAAGGCCAAAAGGGATTTCACTCACTCATTCATTGTCCGATGACATCAATAATGACTGACTGACTGACTGAGTTTGGTTTTACGCCGCTTTCAGCAATATTCCAGCAACATCACGGCGGGGGACACCAGAAATGGGCTTCACACATTGTGCTCATGTTGGGATTCGAACCCGGGTCTTTGGCGTGACGAGCCAACGCTTTAACCATTAGGCTACCCCACCGCCCTTGACATCAAGGAGATGAAGTAAGTGTTGAGATGACACAGAAGCAATGACACTCATTGGTTAGATGGTCCAACTTGTTGAAGAATGTTGCTTGTATGTACGTCATCTATTGCCGTGTTTGACAGTGTTATTGCAAGAGAAATCCATGCTAAAGTGTGTTCATGTTTAATAACGATAACAGTAAAACCTTCTGTTGACTTAATGGTAAATTTGAAGTAACTGATCAGTTCTGAGCAAATTGAATGCGTTTGGGTTAAAGCCTTGGTTTGTCACACCGAAGACCCGAGTTTGAGTCCCCACATTGTTAAGCCCATTTCTGATGCCCCACGCTGTAATAATGCTGGAATATTGATACAAAAGGCCAAAAAGGGATTTCACTCACTCATTCATTGTCCGATGACACCAATAATGGTTGATGTGGGATTATAAACATGATCGGACCATAAGATCTTTCTCTTGCTGTGATATTGCTAGAAGCGGCATATACTTAAAACTCATTCACTCACTCATCTGATATCAGAGGAAGTGCAGTAGCCTAGTGGTTAAAGCATTTGCTCGTAACAACAAAGGCATGAGTTTGATTCCTGACAAGGGTACAATGTGTAAAGCCCAATTTTGTTGTCCCTTGACAATAATATTGCAGGAATGTTACTAAAAACAGTGCTAAACCATGCCCACTCATGTTTGATATCAAATATTTCAACTCTGACTGATAATATGCTTTATGGACCTGTATGGATATATTTCATATCTAAAGACCATATGGGTAGTCTCAATCCTATTATCAGGTATATTGGGGCGATGGGGTAGCCTAGTGGTTAAAGCGTTGTCTTGTCACGCCGAAGACCCGGGTTCGAATCCCCACATGGGTACAATGTGTGAAGCCCATTTCTGGTGTTCCCCTTCCGTGATGTAGCAGGAATATTGCTAAAAGCGGCGTAAAACCAAACTCAGTCAGTCAGTATTATCAGGTATCAACTGGACATTGTAATTAAAACAAATTCTATCTGCATTATTTATCTACCAAAAACGTCAATTGTTTTGTTGTGAAATTGTTTGCAATTGAAGGGGAGATAACTCTAAAGTTGACTTGCAATATATATATCATTTAGTATGTTAACTGCCAAAATAAGTTTATAATTGCATGATGTTTCCTTGAACTAAAACATGAAAAACTATACCCTGTTGTTAGTTGGTATTTGACTTGACTGTGATTCATGTAAAATATTCTGTGAAAGCTGTAATTGTAAAGTTAAGACTGATGGTCCAAAGTGCCTCATTAGTTGCCAAGACCATACATAAATTATCTTGTTTGAATGAATAGTATGCATGCTTGCTATATTTTCATAGGTATCTGTGTTCATATACCTTGTGGATACTGTTAATTTAGACTAAACATTTCTTGTAAAATGTTGCTCTGTTTTACTGTAATAAAGTTATTGATGACATGATGCAGGGGTGGAAATAACTTTAAAATTGTTTGTGAACCCGGGTACAGTGGCACATGTAAAATCACTTGCCCTGATAACTTTTCCACTATACTGGCCGATTTTCTTGTTGATTTTTTAAATAAACAACATAATTAACATTGGAAAGTCAACTGGACACTGGTACAGTGTGATTTACAAATTTGCTTGCCCAACAGAAAAAAACACTGGACTGGGACATCGGGCAATTCATTATTTCCACCCCTGTGATGTCTCGAAACATTTGGCATCCCTGTTCTGAAAGTATTTATAACTGATATTGAAGGGGATATTTACTGGGGCGGTAGGGTAGCCTAGTGGTTATAGTGTTCGCGCGTCGTGCCAAAGACTGGTTTAATTCCCCACATGGGCACAATGTGTATGCCATTTTTTGGTGATATTGGTGGAATATTGGAAAAGGCGGAGCAAAACCCAACTCACTTATCTAGTCCTAGGCCAAATGTAAGAAAATGTGCCTATCTTTTAGGATCTCACAGAAACGGTGAAAGTGTCATCCAGTAATTGGTATGACACATCCCACCCTCCAGAAATTTCTTCCTGGCCACAGAATGTATCAGGTTACTATAAGCAAACACGACTTTCCACACTGCTTGACCCGCACAGACCTCATGGCTCAGACACAGCATCACTCCTCACTTTCTTTCCCAACTTCCAGTAGAGCTCAGCCTCTACACTGACCATCTGCTAAATATATATAGTCCTCATTGTCTAATGGAGGGTGACAGGCACGGTGTCCTACACAGTTCAGCTATGCAGTGTGGGTGATAAGGCTCCGGGTATCATATTTCCTGATTTTGATGGCATCTCTACATTTGGCCTATATCCTCACACTCACTACTGGGATCCGTGTCCGACTATGATTTAGATTTGCCACCATCTGATTCAAGGCATCTTTAGGACAGACTCTCAGGCAGTGGTTGCCTATAACCCTGAAAAGCTGCAGGCCCTAAGGACCCAGAACCATACAAAGTTGCGGGTCCTGATCAGAATGTGTAGGCTCTATTTTAATATGGAAATATTACTCTTAGTTACTGGGGATGAAAAAGCTGTCGGCCATAAGGACCTGCAGAAAACAAAAGCTGTGGGTCAAAATGGTTTTCAGTCGGTTTTGGGCCTAAGGACCGACGTTAATTTCGAACGCTGCTCTCCGGTCACGTCACACGTGTTCCTGTGTTTACAAATACCTAAAGTGTGATTGAGGCTATTCTGCTTTGGCCTTCTTGTTCCCGGATTTGTCACTCGTTGAGCAGTTATGGGATGTCCGTGAGCGACGTGTTGAACTTCAGAACCTCCAACAAATCCATGCAGCCCTCCAGGAAGAATGGCAGAATATCCCACAGGACACTATTCGACGTCTTATTGTTTCAAAGAGTCGTCGTTGTGAGGCAGTGATTCAGACTCGCGGTGGTCACACACGATACTGACCGTCTCTTCCTTCTGAGACTTGTGAACCTTCTGAGACATTTTAAACAACCATCGGGGCGGTGGGGTAGCCTAGTGGTTAAAGCGTTGGCTCGTCACGCTGACGACCCGGGTTCGAATCCCCACATGGGCACAATGTGTGAAGCCCATTTATGGTGTCCCCCGCCGTGATATTGCTGGAATATTGCTAAAAGCGGCGTAAAACCCAACTCACTCACTCACTAAACAACCATCAATCTTTGTAAGCATGAATACCTTACCTTTCCATGTACTGGAATAAATCAATATATGCATGAATATTGTTGTATTTATGTTCACTTTAACACCGATGTAAAAGAACGTTTTTTAAGCAGTATATTAAAGTTGTTGTCTACAAATTATGGCGATACCGAAACACATTTGACATTTGATGCGTCAGCCAAACTGAAACTGGTTTCGTGCATCGTGAAAACAAAAACAGGCAAACACAGCTATGTCGAAATTACGGTTGTCTTGAAGCTGGATTGCTGACTGTACGTGCTGGCGATCAGGTGCCTGACTCTGAGGGTGTGGGTTCGAATCCCCGATGAGACTAAGTACTATAATGTCAGCGTTTAAAATTCCCGCTTGCCCGACCGTCCGGAACGGTTTATTTTCATCTCGGACGGTCAAATTTCAAAAGAAGCCTGTCCGGTGGTCCGTATATGCGAGTCTTCGCTCGCAAATACGAAGACTGGTCATTTTCTCTTTGTTGCGCAACACTGTTTGCGCTACAGTTTGCCTGTGGTTTGAGGAGTTTAAGGTATTATGAAAATTATGTTAAACTTCCTACGATTGGACAGTTCATGTTACGACAACCAATCATAACACATAAGAAAGTAAGATTGTTTATGGATAACAACTTCTTTTATTATATATGATGCGACGTTTCGGTATGGATTCTTATACCGTTGTCAAGCAAGAGTGAAGTACTACAGCACAGAACAGACATATATACATGAACAGGGATTAAGTAATAACAACATGTAGGTATGAATCAAGGGGATTAACAACAAGGCACGGTGGTTATAATGTAGTGACAATAGGAGGAAGCCAATGGTCCTAGAGGCAGAAACAAAATATGCATGGCTGATGAGATTAATTAGCAATGATAGCTGGAGTGCTCTAAGCTGTTGTTTTTATCAGTTCATTGTATGCAGAAAGGATGAGATATCCCTGGTCTCTGTTGATTGAAGGCTTGTGTCTCCGGATTTGAACTGCTTCTGCAAGTTTTCTTTTGGTGAAGTCCTGGTGGTTTTTCGATAATATCTCTACATTGTCCCAAATTATGTTGTGATTGGGACAGTTGATGATGTGGTCTGATAATGCTGATTTTCTGTCAGATTTAGTGGTAGATGATAAGTGTTGTTTGATTCTGATATTTATGCGCTGGGAGGTTTCGCCTACATAGGCCTCACAACACGTGTAATTTAAGCTTATTGTTGAAAACCGGACAGGCAAGTTTGTATCCGGACTGGTAATTTTTGAAATGTTACCAGTACTAGTCCTGCTGTCTGGCTTGGAATTTTGGGAATTTTAAACACTGATATTGCGTACCTTATTAAGAAAGTGTAGTCTCAAATATGACATACGTTAAATTCCGTATTAAGCCATCATTATGCGCTGGAACTCGAAGTATTGATGCTGGTCCCTACAACGTAGCAGCTTCGATATGACGATGTTGGACTTTACATTTGTATACATGTATACTGAAACCTAGGATCATACAACCATATTGGAGCAACTTTAATGTGTTCATATGATCCTTCAATCCTTTGAGTATTGTCTACAGTTACATCGAATCCGCTCCAAAAGGATAAGATTTTGACGGCATACACAGCCTATTGAACTACCAAACGTATAGATTGTTATTTCTGCTGGACAGTACATTTTTTGTAAGATCAGTTGGATAAGAACAAAACATTGATGTAAATACTGATATTTTATCCATCGAAATATATTATGTTCTATTTGGTTTGTGACCCGCTTTCTGCTATATTCAAGGTATATGGCGGCTGTGTGTATATTATCGAGACAGAACCGGTAATCCAGTGATTGACACCGTGGTTGACATGAGCACCGGTGATACGATGACATGCATCAAACAAACCAGTGAGTCATACCTCCGTCTGACAATGCGATACCGTTAGGACAACCATGGATTGCTGACGATGGATTGCCGCATCTTTAAGGGTCTTTAAGGAAATATATAGGATTGACGTTTTGGTGTATCTTTCTTCAACGTTAGTATTGTAGGAATATACATTGTATCACCATTTGGGCGGAAGTGTTAATACAAGTATAACAAGAAAAACAAACTTTACAATAACTTATACAAGTTTTATATTGAATAATGTCAACAATGGATTTGTTTGTTTGTTGTTTAACGCCACACGTAGCAATATTCCAGCTATACAGCGGCGGTCTGTAAATACTCGAGTTTGGACCAGATAATCCAGTGATCAACGTTATGAGCATCGATTTCCGCAACTGGGATACGATGACTTGTCAACCAAGTCAGCTAGACTGACCACCCGATCCCGTTAGTCGCCTCTTACGACCAGCATGGGTTACTGAAGATAAATTCTAACCCGGATTTTCAACAATGGAGATACAACTTATCAACAATGTTATGGATACATGGTGCCAATAAATACCACAGGTATTGATAAAATACTGTTAGGGACGTATATAAATATAGAATTAAGTAATTAAAACTGTTTTAGTAAAATATTTTGTGTAAATAAATATCACTAGTATGTTGCCTAAAATGCATAAAAATGTATTTACAGAAGTATCATAGACCTTCACCAATGATCGTATATTTGCGCCATTAACAGGTCATGTGACCATTCTCAGCCAATTAGAACACATATTGGATGGCTTTTATATCACGAACAAGGTCACAGGTCGTATAGCAGGAAAACATATAAGTGATTACAAAGTGTCTGTTTATTTCTCCTTCTCCGAATACAACAAACAGTTACTGTGGCACTGTGTAAATTGTCTGGAATTCCAGACAATTTGATATATTAAATGGACAATATGTCCGCCATCTTGGACGGTCGCCAATGTCAAGCGAAATTATCAGTTTCCTTCTTCAATCTACCTTGTCCATTGTACAAAGTGTCCAAATGGACAGATAGATTAAATTTGTGTTTATCTCCAAAAATATACATGTATATGGGTAAGCGTGTGTTCACATCAAGCCAGACGTTAGGACAGTTTGACAGACGGCAAACCTAGGCTAAAAACCTTTGATAAACATAGGTGGCCTCAAGCCAGGCATTGATGTTGTACTATATACTCTTTAATAGGGGTGACTATCGAGGGGGAAACAACTATTGCGATAGCGATAGTCTATTGCAACATACTATATCAATAGCGATAGTCTATTGCGATCAACTATTGCAATGCTATTGCATTAGTTTTGTTTTTCCTTGACTTGTCTCATTTGAAGTCATTTCCCAAATAAATGTATAGTTTATATGAAATAAAAACAACTTGAAGTAGTTTCAGCCTCTTTTAATAGCTGACAAGAAACTTGAAACCCAGATCAAGTAAACGGTTAACTTGAGTAAACATGAACTCAATGAAGCTGCAAGTCTGCATCCAAACATCCTTTATTTTGCGCTGCGCATTTATCAACGGAAGTTAATTACTAAACTATCAATAGTCACACATACTATCGATCCATCAATAGTTTTTCGTTTTAACAGTCGATTAATTGCTATCGGAGACTCAACATGAACATGAAATCACAATAATTAGAACGTGCTGTACTCACACATTCCGAGATTTAAAATACAAAATATAAAGGTTAAAGAATATCAATACTCTTTTTATTAGACATTATTATTTTGCAATAAAATTGCGTTATAAATAGTAGTCTTTTTAAAATAAATAACTTTAAAAAACAAACAAACAATAGTTTGTAAACAAACATGGCCACCATTAGGATAACCCCGATCAAGGCCAATGACCTAGTTAAAGTTGACGGTGACATTTCTAGTAGACACTGTAGTGAAATATATTATTGCAAACATCAAATTGTTATTCAGTGGTGTCAAGTGTAACTATCAATATCCGAAGTAAATGTATTTTAAAACAATTTAGATGAAATAATATTGGAAAATAGTCAATCAATATTGAAAAATAAGTTTTTTATTAATAAGTTTGCACAGGATAAAATCTGGATCAAAATAAATCCCAAACATCAAACAAATAAAGATTGAAATATATTGATACACAATCGTTACGTAACCCTTACAAGACCTCATGGACAGAGTTGCTGGAAAACGTGTTTGGATGTAGCGTGACAAAAGCTTTGACATCATTATCGGAACAAATGCTACTGAGGATTGCAACAGGTGAATGCTCTCAAGCACATTCTGGGTCAAAGTGGTCTAGAAGAATTAGGCAGATGCTTAGGCATGCTTAAAACTGGTACAACACAACGTCGCTTTACAATCGTCTTTGGTGTAAGCTAAAGTGTTATAAGGAGGGCTTGGAGTCGATATCAGAGGTCAAGATCAACTACCCAGCAATATGCGAGTGGTCGACAGCGTTCCACCATAGAGTGGGAAGAAATTGTTTTCCTGATTGCAGCAGGACGTCATCTCTTTGTGATATGTCGTCACACTCAGAAATGACCTGCTAGCATCAGTGACGTGAACGTTTCTACAGTGTCTAATCGTCCCCAGGAGACTGATCTCCGGTCACGGAGGACATTCATTCCTATCGCACTGGCCCGATAATCACAGGCAGGCACATTTGGTTTGGACTGAAGACAACATCAGTTGAACAGACCTGCATCACAGGCCCTCGTGTCTTTGCGAGGATTAAAGATTTTAAAACAATATATATCAATTTGAAATGGCCCCTCGACTCAAAAAAGGTTCACGGTACAATACATTATGATGAATTGTACTGTAAAGCATTTCGAGTCGGGGGTCATCTCACAAACAATATTTTTTTAATCTCCAATCCTCGCAGATACGAGGGACTGTGACCTGCATTGGCATTTTTAACTGTTGAATCTAGATACAGGTTTACATTTCCCAGATCGTCGTTACCGAGGTAAGGGTAATGATTTCACGATTCCAACGCAGCCTCACATGATCGGACATACATGATTTGAAAAGTGGAACAGTCTACCCTTGACAACCCGACCTTGGGCGCAGTTGCCAGCCTGGGATCACGTCATCACTTGGAGCTTTTTGTTTGTTGAGAATGCATTTCTTTTTATGTTGTTTAATTTGTTTTATTTCAAATTTTGTCGGATATTTTTCATTTTGACAGTTGACTGACTGATCATGGGCAAAGGACTTTCGTTCATGAAACGTCTTCATGAAAACATTGTCTTTTTGACAGATGCTCATGGCGTAGAGTTTGACTTTTAACTGGTAATCATTGGCATACTTTGTGTCGTATATTTAGTGGGAAAATGTCAAACAACCTGGTTGCAAGAATGGATACAATAGTCCCTAACATAATAGATATTATCACTCAAAAGGCATAATAAATCCAAACAGTGAACACATAAACTTACATGATAACACTGAAAGCGACTGCCTGAGTGATAATAATGCATTTTTACAAAACAACAGTTCGTAGAGTTTTTATGTGTGTTAAAAACATAGTGAAACACGGTTGTAATAAGTTGTAATTAATTATTCATTCATTTATTTATTTATTTTATCTTATTTTATTTATTTATTTATTTATTTATTTATTTATTTATTTATTTATTTATTTAAAAAATTATTTATTTATTTATTTATTTTATTATTTATTTATTTATTTATTAATTCTTAAAATAACAAAAAAATTTGGGGGGAGGAAATATGTTTGCTATTGATTCAATTTAATGCGATGTCAACATTTACTCAGAGTAATGGGTTTATGATATACACTCTGACATCACACAGCGTCATAGCGGAAGTCACCGTCAGTTTGAACGTCACATAACGAAAACTGCCCTTCCCCGCACAGTTATACGTCAAAACGCTGCCAGCAGTGATGGATCCGGAAGACCTCGGGCACGTTGTTGTTGACGCCCCATTGGATGATTGTACCTCATTGGTCAAGGTCGTCATTCGGCTTGCTGAAATAATAATAGGTGTCTTTGGTTCAGTGACAATATTGTGCTTGTCACAATGTGAGTATAATGGGTGATTCTAAGATGCTCCGCTCAATGATCAGAGGCGCCGACAGCACACTTTTTTGCATTACGTGACACTGTATTGACGTCAATACGCCATTCTTGACTGCCCCTCCCTCGTAATCACTGACTGAGTTTAGTTTTACGCCGCTTTTAGCAATATTCCAGCAATATCACGGCGGGGGACACCAGAAATGGGCTTAACACATTGTGCCCATGTGGGGAATCGAACCCGGGTCTTCGGCGTGACGAGCCAACGCTTTAACCACTAGGCTACCCCACCGCCCCCCCTCGTAATCAAAAGTATTCTTGGTAACGCACATCTCGGCGCTTTGAGGGGGTGATGGTTGTTGGTTTTGTGTGCAGTATACATGTATTATAAACATAATTTATCTAATAATTTGTTTTTATGTACTGTGGAACTTCATAAGATATAAGTCGATCTGTTTTTCAATGATTTTCTACATGATGACCACCTGATCCCGTTAGTCGCCTCTTAGGACAAGCATGGGTTGATAGGTTTCTTGTTTAACGCCGCACCCAGCAATATTCCAGCTATATGGCGGCTGGCTGTAAATACTCGAGTCCGGACCAGACAATCCAGTGATCAGTATCATGAGCATCGATTTACACAACTGGGATATGACATGTGTCAACCAAGTCAGCGAATCTGACCACCCGATCCCGTTAGTTCAATTCTAACCCGGATCAAAGAGGAATGCATTACCACAACAATCGCCTCTCAGCTTAGCTCTTAGATGGTCAATCTTATAGTCGCTGCCCAAATCCACTTTCCACCATGGCTTGTTAACGTAGTTTCCATCAGCGCATTTGCCTGACAGCGCCTTGTCGGCAGTGGCTGATCCGTAGGTACTCAGTTGTGTAGCATGTTTGTCAGCCGCAATATTTACAAAGTCTGAAAAACAGAATCGTACGAAAGTAAGTATGGTTTTACGCCGCTTTAAGCAATATTCCAGTAATATTACGGCGGGGGACACCAGAAATGGGCTTCACACATTGTACCCATGTGGGGAATTGAACCTGGGTCTTTGGTGTGACGAGCGAACGCGTTTTAGATACCCTGTACAGTCCGTTTGGGTTCAAATGAAAACGAAGAATGATTAAATAACTCAAAATAGGGATAAGTGCACAACACAAAAGAGACACGTGGCCTTGAAACCTCTGTAACCAACAGGATCTGAAATCTGTTGGGTACAGAGGTTTCAGGACCATGTAATCATTCGTCGTTCTCATTTGAACCCGGGCGGTGGGGTAGCCTAGTGGTTAAAGCGTTCGCTCGTCACGCCGAAGACCAGGTTTCGATTCCCTAAATGGGTACAATATGTGAAGCCCATTTCTGGTGTCCCCCGCCGTGATATTGCTTGAATATTGCTAAAGCGGCGTAAGACCAAACTCACTCACTCACTCACTCACTCATTTGAACCCAAACGGACTGTAGGGTATCTAAACTTGAGCGACCATGAATAGGTATTGACGTAACTTCACTTATATTAGTGTGCGTGTGCGTGTGTGTGTTTATAGAAATATTTTTATGATGTGTTTTTACCCTTTTTAGTTATGTATAGATGATTGTGTCTCATAGACCTCTTAAGGCTGCAGGTATGTAAAAATGTATGTGTTTATTGTATATGAACTTTTTATCTTGTTTACATACATGTGACACCTAAATAAACTGTGTCTGTCTGTCATACCTAAACGGTAAAATAATAAACACATAAAATATATAAATAAACAAATGAAACAAACAACAGCAACGGAATATGTGTCTATTGAGCTCCACTAAACCTGCACTTTGTTGACACTACAAGTACAATTCCATGAAATTTTGAGCTGGAATTGTTCGTGAAACTGCGCTGAAAAACACACACTCACATTCTACACAAAGTCCGTCCATTCCTATCCAAACCCCCGTCTGGGTACATGCCAAGTCCAACGTCGTCCCCGTGAAGACGTAGTCTGTGTGACATCCGTATGTGACGTTGGCTGTGAATGTCGTTGTGGTGTAGGTGGCGTTGGCGTTCTCCACAACAGGAGGTGCGCCACAATCTACAACTGTCAACCGAACCATGAACATCCGGGTTAGAATTGGTCTTCAGCAACCCATGCTTGTCATAAGATGCGACTTGCGGGATCAGGCGATCTGGTTCACTGACTTGGTCGATGGATGGAATCATATCCCAATTGTTAAGATTGATGCTGGTGATACAGTTCACCGGATTGTCTGGTCCCAGTGATCAACATCATGAACATCGATCTACGCAATCGGGATAAGATGACATGAGTCAATCAAGTCAGCGAGCCTGACCACCCGATCCCGTTAGTCGCCTCTTACGACAAGCATGGGTTCTTAAAGAACAATTCCTAACCCAGATCTTCACGGGTCTCGTGCTCATGAACACCCGTATGGGAACGACTGTTTGATAATCTTGGCGGGGGTGTTGCAGACTTATAACGGTATACGTCTATCTTATTAAAACTATTTAAAACATTTTAAAAATAACATTATGCTACAATTTATGCTTTTTGACAATATTTCCCATAATTTTTCTTTTCATGCATTTTTTGGGGACAAGTCAGCTTCGGTAAAATCAATTCGGTTTCATCAGCTAACACGTTGTTTAGACGATTCACAAGTATCTTGATAATGTATGCAGCATATGTTTGTCTCGTACGACGGATAACTGAAGTTGTAGTTACGTTGACATGTCCCGCGGCCCTGCCACAGGCCGGTGTGGTCGCAGGTGGCGCCCTCTCTGATGCCGGTGTAGTTGAAGCCAACGTTGCAAGTGTACACGGCTATGGAACCATACGTGGACTCGTCGTAGGTCACGTTGCCGTCAGCGACTTCGCCGGGGACGCCGCAATCAACAACTTGAGGAGAAAAGTCAGTTTTAGAAAAATAGCATCAAAGCATGTATTCAACTGAATTAAAGTTCTCAAATAGATTTGTTTGTTTGTTCGTCTGTTTGTTTAACGTCACATGCAGCAGTTCAGCAATATTCAGCTATATGGCGATGGGCTGTAAATAATCGTCTGGACCAAGGCCTCCTTTCACATGGTGATCGTAAGTCATTAAGGTAACCTTAGTGCAATGTTAAATGGGAGTTAAGGTTAACGTTAAGGTTGCTTCGAAAGGAGCCAAGACATCCCAGCGACTCGTCAGCAGCCTTTTACGACAAGCATGGGTAGCTGAAGACCAGGGACCCGTTCTTCGTAACGCTACGACAGTCGTAAGTCTTGTTAAAGTATGGGAGTTACGAAATACAATTGATTTTCAAATAGACTGTCTTGCTGACGTAAACCATTCTAGAAAGCTAGATTTGAAAACCCGGGTAGAACCAGGACCCCGTTCCTCACAACGATCGTGGCGCTAAGATGATCGTAACTCCCATACCTTAACATAGACTTACGACTGTCGTAGCGCTACGATCGCTTTGAGGAACGGGGCCCTGGTTCGAATTGGTCTTCAGCAACCCATGCTTGTCGTAAGAGGCTACAGACGAGTTCGGGTCGTCAGGCTGGTTGACATGTCATCGTATCCCAATTGCATGAACCGATGCTCATGATGCTGATCACTGGATTGTCCCGTCCAGGCCGCCGCCAAATAGCTGAGATATAGCTTAGTACAATATCAAGAAACAAACATAACAAAAACTTCGGAATAAACATTCAGAGCGGGCGGGAGACGGATATCCCTATAACACGATCCCGGTAACAAACACATTCCAATTACGTTTCAAGTATTACTGTTTCCTGGAGACGAGATTTGGTCCCGGTGCTTACTTTGACAGATTCCATCAACGCCATTCCAGGTCCCATCGACATTACAAGACGCTCTGTTCCTGTTACCGGAGAAGTTGTAGCCGATGTTGCAGGTGTAGACGGCAACTGACCCGTACGTCGTTGTGGTAAACGTACTGCTGCTGTTGTTGAGACTTGTAGGCGGACCGCAGTCGATGACTAGAAGAGGAAAAACAGAGCTAATTTTCAGTTATTAATTACTTTATCACTAAAATTCGAAACGATACCTCTACGATACTACTAAAGAAGCTGGTAGCCAAGCGAACCCTGACCGAAATTTGACCTCCCAATCTGAAAGAGGGATTCCTAGGTTTTTAACCAGTCAGCAGTCAGATTTCCAGAGCTATTCTGCTTTTCATGTTTATTTTTATTTGTTCAGTTCGGTCTGCGATGTATACAAATGAAAATCCCACTGAACACCATGTCCGTGCAGAAGCCGTGGCGCTCAGAAACGATCGGCTGCATGAAATATCTGCAATAATATAACTGTTACACCGCTGGCACTGACGTGGCATAATCTGCATAATCTGCAGTTAGAAATGAAGTGGTGTGAAATGGACAAATGGTGTACTGTGTAGATCTCATTCGTCTCCATCCAATCGACGGTAGATGACCAGATGGTGGAAACATCAACCTGGGCAAGTGACCCATTTGAAATGTGCCTCTGTTCATCCAGCAGGGTACCCGGCAGTGAAGTGGATGTAACTTGATCGCTTATTCCCGGGGAGTTGAGAATAATTATTATTGGAAAGCATACAAGTCAACAAGTGCATTTTGGGGACAAGTCAGCTTTGGTAAAATCAATTCGGTTTCATCAGCTAACACGTTGTTTAGACGATTCACAAGTATCTTGATCGTTTATGCAGCATATGTTTGTCTCGAACGACGGATAACTGAAGTTGAAGTTACGTTGACATGTCCCGCGGCCCTGCCACAGGCCGGTGTGGTCGCAGGTGGCGCCCTCTCTGATGCCGGTGTAGTTGAAGCCAACGTTGCAAGTGTACACGGCTATGGAACCATACGTGGACTCGTCGTAGGTCACGTTGCCGTCAGCGACTTCGCCGGGGACGCCGCAATCAACAACTTGAGGAGAAAAGTCAGTTTTAGAAAAATAGCATCAAAGCATGTATTCAACTGAATTAAAGTTCTCAAATAGATTTGTTTGTTTGTTCGTCTGTTTGTTTAACGTCACATGCAGCAGTTCAGCAATATTCAGCTACATGGCGACGGGCTGTAAATAATCGAGTCTTGACCAGACATCCCAGTGACTCGTCAGCAGCCTCTTACAACAAGCGTGGGTAGCTGAAGACCAGTTCTTCACAACTGATTTTCAAATAGACTGTCTTGCTGACGTAAACCATTCTAGAAAGCTAGATTTGAAAACCCGGGTAGAACCAGGGGCCCCGTTCATCACAACCATCGTAGCGCTAAGATGATCGTAACTCCCATACCTTAACATAGACTTACGACTGTCGTAGCGCTACGATCGCTTTGAGGAACGGGGCCCTGGTTCGAATTGGTCTTCAGCAACCCATGCTTGTCGTAAGAGGCTACAGACGAGTTCGGGTCGTCAGGCTGGTTGACATGTCATCGTATCCCAATTGCATGAACCGATGCTCATGATGCTGATCACTGGATTGTCCCGTCCAGGCCGCCGCCAAATAGCTGAGATATAGCTTAGTACAATATCAAGAAACAAACATACCAAAAACTTCGGAATAAACATTCAGAGCGGGCGGGAGACGGATATCCCTATAACACGATCCCGGTAACAAACACATTCCAATTACGTTTCAAGTATTACTGTTTCCTGGAGACGAGATTTGGTCCCGGTGCTTACTTTGACAGATTCCATCAACGCCATTCCAGGTGCCATCGACATTACAAGACGCTCTGTTGCTGTTACCGGAGAAGTTGTAGCCGATGTTGCAGGTGTAGACGGCAACTGACCCGTACGTCGTTGTTGTAAACGTACTGCTGCTGTTGTTGAGACTAGTTGCCGAACCGCAGTCGATGACTAGGAGAGGAAAATAGAGCTAATTTTCAGTTATTAAATATATCACTAAAATTCGAAACGATATTTCTCCGATACTACTAAAGAAGCTGGTGGCCAAGTGAACCCTGACCGACATTTGACCACCCAATCTGAAAGAAGGATTCCTAGTGTTTTTAGCTAATCAGCAATCAGATTCCGAGAACTATTGAGCTTTTCATTTTTTATTTTGAATTTGTTCAGTTCGGTGATTGCGATTTATACAAATGAAACCTCGCTGAACACCATGTACACGCAGATGCCGTGGCGCTCAGAAACGATCGGCTACATGAAATATCTGCAATAATATAATTGTCCACTGCTGTTACATTCGGTGGCATTGTCGTCATAATCTGCAGTTAGAAATGAAGAGGTGTGAAATGGACAAATGGTGTACAGTGTACACTCATTCGACTCTGCATCCAATCGATGACCAGATGGCGGAAACACCACCATACGTGCACCCGACATCAACCTGGGCAAGTGACCTATTTGAAATGTGCGTCTGTTCATCTAGCAGGGAATGTGTACCCGACAGTGAATTGGACGTAAAAATCTGCTATCGTCCCTGGACAATTTGGATCGCATATTCCCCGGGGAGTTGAGAATAATTATTATTGGAAAGCATACGAATCAATTGGTCGGGGAACAAGTAAGACGTAATTGCACAGATGCGCTTGTTTGATTTATCTCCACTCAGGGGCGGTGGCCTATTGGTCAAAGCGTTCGCTCGTGACGCCGAAGCCCCGGGTTCCATTCCGGGTTCACTTACATGAAGCAGCCTTAGCGCCATGATAATCTTCACTCCCATACTCTAACACAGACTTAGGCCATAATGGTAGCCGAATGGTAAAAACGTTCGCTCGTTAGCCACAGACCCAAGTCCGATCCCCCACATGGGTTCAATATGCGAAACCAGTTTCTGGTGTCCCCCGCCTTGATATTGCTGGAATATTGCTAACAGCGCGTAAAACCCAACTCACTCACTCGCTCACTACACCCACTCACGATTGCACTGTCCATCTAACCCCTCCCATCTCCCCGAGGCTGAACATGTCGCTCTGTTGCTCTCTCCTGTGAAGTTGTAGCCGGTGCTGCAGTTGTATGCCACCACCGCGCCGTAGGTGCTGTTGTTGAAGAAATGGTTGGCCTTGGGGAGCGCGACTGGTGCAGAACAGGTAATTTCTGAAACAGGGACGATCACAGGTAAGAATTGGCGTAACGATCTATCCCCCGAGGACTTCTAACTTCGTGTTCCGGGACAACGCCCACAATTTGATTCCGCTTGATCCTGAAAAGAACACTTCAGCAAACTATCTGGTAACCTTAGGTACATGAACTCCAGGTTGTTAAAAAACACAGTTCGTCACGGTATACTACTCTTAGCGCATTCTCATTCGTCAGTCGAATGGGTAAAGCGTCCATTCGTCACGCCGAAGACCCGGGTTCGATTCCCCACATGGGTACAATGTGTGAAGCCCATTTCTGGTGTCCCCTGCCGTGATATTGCTGGAATATTGCTGGAATATTGCTAAAACTCCTACTCACTTTTAACACATGTAAACTGACGGACAAAAGAAAGTACACACCTGATACTTTGGTAAAATGTTTTCCTACAAACAGCGTAATATTTAGAAAAGTGTTTTGATTGTGACTCACAAGTCACAAACATTGTGTACGTGTTGCAATAACACCATACATATCGTACATAATTGGAACATTGTTAGCAAAATATTTACGTTTTTCAATAGTCTCAAAACACCAGGTGTGTACTTTCTTTTGTACACCAGTATATGTATTCAACGCATCACTGACATCCATCTTCTGTGGTAATTGGGTCAGATGTTCAATACCTATTATGCTTTGAACGACCACACCATTCTCACAAATCAAAAGCATATGAATGTAGATGACGGGACACTTGTCAGAAGAGTACCATTTGTACGTAATCCAGACTACCATATGTCAGCCTTACAATTATAAGGAAGCAGCGTTGGCTGAGTGGGTTAGATCGCTAACATTGTGTACTGACGATTAGGTGCCTAACCCTCAGAAAGTGGGTTCGAATCCCGGAAGGGACTCAACCTAATGAATGTACGATAATCTATTCTATACAAGAAAGTATAATCCAAAATATAATATACGTTTAATATATCCCGCTTTATGACAATAACACTACGAACTTTTAGCACCTTTTTTATCGTTTCTTCCTTAACTCTTCCATGGCCCGAAACATTGATTACACAACAGTCTCGTTTCCTGTTGACTGGGCCCCGTCCTATTGCGCAACTTGGTACAATAACCAGTCCAGTATTTTGAGACCAATTCATGTAACTGGATACATAATTATTAATCAGTATTATTTGATACATCTAAGCACTTGTATATTGCACCACTACGCTCCTTCTAATCCTTGCAAACACGTCGTGCAGCGTGCTCTGTCGTACAGCGAGCTCTGACAAACGGAAATCTGAAAATTATGGAAATCTCAAAACGAGGCTCTGCCGCTAGAAATGTTTGGCGGTCTGGTACGGACTTGATATTATATCAATCACATTGTGCGTTACAAAACTACACTGAATTAGCGCATAAAACACATAACAGGGGTAACCAGTGAGCCAGATGCATTGTGAATCATTTTACGACCTCATCAAACAGGAGCAGTCTGTGACGTCTTAGTTAAGGTCATGCTGCCTACACCTCACCATAAAGTATAGAAATACGATGTTATTAATATTTAAAATTAAATTCATGTGTAAATACCATTTTCTTATAAAACAAGGAATTGGAATTCAGTGTAACCATAGTTGTTTGTGATGTCTATTTTCACTTTCACACGAGAAAATTCGGATCGGCTGAAAAGTAAGTCATTGTCTGCATAGGTTAATGAGACTCATGTTTCGGTTTGTGACAAACGCCCACAAGGGGAATCGGATGTTGCCATGGGATATGTATTCATTTCGAACAGCACTACGAACTCTTATCACCTTTTTTATCGTTTCATCTTCATTCAGGAGCACGGCCCGGTGACAAACGCTCACGAAGGGAATCGGATGTTGTCATGGGATATGCATTCATTTCGAACAGAATACCGACTTTAAAAAACAGTGAACATGAACCGGGGGGATTTGGTACATTAAAAAAAACATACGTTGTAAATAGTACAGAGCCATTGGGTGCCATCATTGCCACGGTGGGCCATCCGTACTAACAAACACCCCACGTAGGTATTGATTTTCCTTTATGTAACTTTCTACATTAATAATCCCTGAAGACCCGGGTTAGAAGTTGTCTTCACAACCCAAACGCGTCGTGAGAGTCGACTTAACGGATCGGGTTGTCATGCTCGTTGACTTAGTTGACGCATGTCATCGTAACACGTTTGTGTAGATTGATGCTCATGATGTTGATCACTAGATTGTCAGGGCCAAGCTTTATTATTTACTGACTGACTGACTGAGTTTGGTTTTACGCCGCTTTTAGCAATATTCCAGCAACATCACGGCGGGGAACACCAGAAATGGGCTTCACACATTGTACCCATGTGGGGATTCGAACCCGGGTCTTCGGCGTGACGAGCGGACGCTTTAACCACTAGGCTACCCCACCGCCCCTATTATTTACAAACCCCCGCCATATAGTTAGACTATTGCTGAGGACAGCGTTATACAACAAACCAAAACCAAACATCCGTACCAACCAACAAACCACATAAATAGTTAAAGACAGACCCTTCTTTATGAGTGAATGAGTGAGTGTAGTTTTATGCCCCTCTTAGCAACATTCCAGCAACACAATGTGTGAAGCTTATTGCTGGTGTCCCCCGCCGTGATATTGCTGGAATATTGTGAAGAGCGGCGTAAAACCATACTCACCTATTCACTCTTTATGAAGCAATAAACAAAAACGTCCTACATTATTAGGCTACGGTGTTCAGCCTTTCTGAAAAGTGGGCCTATGTCCAGCCATCAGTTCTGTGGGTCACTTAAAAAATATTGTGGGTCACTGACGTGATTTGTTGGCCATAGACTAGTAACTAGAATGAGTTCAATTACGTTTTAACTTTCAGTCAAGGTGAGCTCAACAAGAGTAACCATTTCTCAACACTCAACATCAATTCAAAATATATTTGAAAGAAACGAATAAATAATAAACTTAATGTAAACCCAATCTGAACATTTCTATAATTACTGGACATTTATCTTTGTCCAGCTGACACTAAGTCTGAATTTCCAACCTGAAACTTTGGAAACAACTGGACCCTTCAGCAATGAACCATGATTCTTGTTATTATGATTATCATTATCATTAGTCTGATAGTGACTGTTACATTTAGTCGGATTATGTTTGGAGTTAATGACATGTTTTGCAATAGTTGTTTGCGAATGTTTAAGCGTCCGAAAGCCAATAACACGAGGATACCTGTAATGTTGGTTCCAAATTCACAACCTGAACTTAACCATACCCTGTAAATACATTGTTTATCCGGGCCCGGTTGTTCAAAACTCGGTTATCTTTTAACCAGCCGTTAACAGAGGGTTATCTTGTTGTTCAAGACTCGGTTATCCGACCGTTAACTAATAACAGAGGGTTATCTTGTTGTTCAAAACTCGGTTAACTTTAAACAGGTTGTTAACGTGACGTAAAGTTAACACACCTAAGGACCGCCGCTAACTTTTTAACAGTCTGGTTAGGTGAGGTGAAGTGAAATTGGGTTTAACGTCGTGCTTGAGAATATTTCGCTCATATGACGACGTGCATGCGGGTGTATGTGTATGTGCGGCTGCTTGTACTAGCCCAGACTTGAGCTGGTTTTACAGTGCTAGCCCACTGAGATACCATGCCGCAGTGAAGCATGAATACCCCATTCAGACACATTATACTGACTCCGAGCCGACCAGTCCTTGTTGTACCCATAAAACCGAGCGCCAGGCAGGGACCAACAAGTACCATATTTTAACGTCTTTTGGTATGACGCGGTCGGGGATCGAACCCGCGACCTTCCGCTCTCCGGGCGGACGGTCTAACCACTACACCAATATTATTCAAACAAACACTTTCAAAGAATCAAACACGTAGACCCTATACCCACGTATGATATAATATTGAACAAGACTAAATGTAGATAATTAAATTAGTTTCATGAAAAAATACCCGAATGATTACATTATGATACTAAAAAGTGTGTAATCGGCGTATATACTCTTATTCTACCGACCTTCACCTCAGAGAAATAACCAAATGTTGACGTATGACATCACTACCCTTGAGATTTCTAAAAAAATGGCGGCTTACTTTGGTTTTGCGAGGACCCTTCCTTTGATTCAGGGATCGTTTGTACATAAATATGAGATGTAAGTAATCAGAATGATTCTGACTATCTGTGTATTGTTACATGTTTTTATCGTTTTCATTTTAAGAAAGAGAAGAAGCGGCCAGAAATGCTGATTATTACCATTGTCGTTCTTACGTGATTTTGCGTCAGTCAGTCCTGTATTGTATCTATTTTTAATTTCCTATTTCTTGCTACTATGCTCTTTCCATGCAAATGGGTGTCTGAAAATTTGAGAAAAATGCTACACAGTATAAAGTCTGAAATTTTCTTTGTTTACATTTCAAACAGGTGTTGTCTTTCGAGCACAGCATTTGTTTCTACCCCCAATATCTTTCGTTTCACTTTATCTAGACACTTGGTATTGGCTACTCACTGCTCATGCACATATAAATTACAGTCATTAAAACTATGCTCCATTAATCGGACAATACCAATGATGTAAAAAACCGTGAATTTCCGGGTTAGAATATTGATCTTCAGTAACCCATGCTTGTCGTAAGAGGCGACTAACGGGATCGGGTGGTCAGACTCGCTGACTTGGTTGACACATGTCATCGGTTCCCAATTGAGCAGATCGATGTTCATGTTGTTGATCACTGGATTGTCTGGTCCAGACTCGATTATATACAGACCGCCGCCATATAGCTGGAATATTGCTGAGTGCGGCGTAAAGCTAAACTCACTCACTCACTCACTCAATGATGTAAATGTGTGTTACGTCAAAAACGAAAAAGACAAGCTATTGTCTGCCCTTCTCATTACAGAGCTCTCTCCCTTTCCGGGTACTCGATTCCTAGAAATAGGACTCGATTCCAGCTGTACCCGACCCGGATTCGAGTACCCGAGTACC